CCAAGTCTCTAACCTTTCGATCTGCATATTCTTTTTGCCGGCTTTGCGCCGCCAAAAGCTTTTCTTGAATAGATTTCACTTTCTCTAAAGAATCCCTCAAAAGGTCAGTACCCCAAGGTCTAACTTCAAATGCATCAAACCACCCAATGGGAGACCTACATCTTCTCCCATATAGTGCCTCAAATGGGGCCATATCAATGCTTGAGTGATAGCTATTATTGTAGGAGAACTCTGCTAAGGGTAAGAAGCTATCCCACTGACCACCAAATTCTATCACACATGCACGAAGCATATCCTCCAACACTTGAATCGTTCGCTCAGACTGACCATCGGTCTGAGGATGGAAACCAGTAGTAAGGTCCAACCTAGTACCCAATTCCGCATGCAATGTTTTCTAAAACTTAGAAGTAAACTGAGTACCTCTATCTGATATAATGGAGAGTGGAACCCCCATGCAATCACACCACTTCCGAGATGTAAAGTTTGGCTAACTTCTCTGCATTGTAAGTCACCTTAACCGGAATGAAGTGAGCAGACTTAGTTAACCTATCAACAATTACCCAAATAGAATCAAACTTTCCTAATGTCTTTGGAAGACCAGCCACGAAATCCATCGCAATCCTTTCCCACTTCCATTCAGGAATGGGCATTGTCTGAAGTGTTCCTCCGGGCCTCTGGTGTTCATACTTTACTTGTTGACAGTTTGTACATTTGGCAATAAAGTCAACAATATCACGCTTCATTCTACTCCACCAAAAGTGTTGCTTTAGGTCACGGTACATCTTGGTTGCACCCGGATGTATCGAATACCTTGAACTATGAGTCTCTGTCAGAATAGTGTTGATCAAATCATCGACGCGGGGTACACATACCCTTCCCTTAATCCTCAAAACACCTTCCCCATCGATTGTTGCTTCTTTAGCCTCTCCTTGCAACACTTTATCTCGGTTCCGGATCAATTTCTCATCATTAAATTGTTTCCCCTTGATCTTGTCAATAAAAGAAGATCTCGCCTCCACACTGGCCAACAATCCTCCCTTCTCATTTACTTCTAACCTCATCAAGTCGTTAGCCAGAGTCTGAACTTCTCTAGCCAATGGGCGTCTAGAAGTTTGCAAGTGAGCTAGACTTCCCATGCTTCCCGCCTTTCTACTTAAAGCATCTGCTACAACATTCGCCTTCCCCGGATGATACAAAATAGTTATGTCGTAGTCCTTCAGTAGTTCCATCCATATCCTCTGTCTCAAGTTTAAATCTTTCTGAGTAAAGACATACTGAAGGCTAAGATGATCCGTGTAGACCTCACACTTAACCCCATATAAATAGTGTCTCCATTGCTTTAATGCAAACATTACCGCGGCCAATTCCAAATCATGAGTTGGATAGTTACGTTCATGCACTTTTAATTGTCTTGAAGCATAAGCAATCACATTCTTCTCTTGCATTAGCACTGCACCCAAACCCGAATAGGATGCATCACAATAGACAATGAAATTCTTACCTTCCACCGGCAAGGTGAGAATTGGTGCAGTAGTCAACAGAGTCTTGAGCTTCTGAAAGCTTTCCTCACACTCATCTGACCATACAAATGGAAAATTTTGCTTAGTCAAGTTCGTCAGTTGGGAAGCAATAGAAGAGAATCCCTTGACAAATCGGCGGTAGTAGCTAGCTAACCCAACAAAGCTCCTTATTTCTGACACATTAGTAGGTCTTACCCAATTCTTCACTGTCTCAATCTTAGAAGGATCCACCATCACTCCATCCTTAGAAACCACGTGCCCCAAGAAGGACACTGCATCTAGCCAAAACTCACACTTAGAGAACTTGGCATAAAGCTTTTTCTCCCTCAACATTTCCAATACCATTCTCAAATGCTCCTCATGTTCCTCCTTACTTTTAGATTATATCAGTATATCATCAATAAATACGATCACAAAGAGATCCAAATATGGCTTATCCCGTTCATCAAACTCATGAACGCAGCAGGGGCATTCGTAAGACCAAAAGACATCACTACAAATTCGTAATGCCCATACCTGGTTCTAAAAGCAGTCTTTGGCACATCCGTTGCCCGTATTTTCAATTGATGATAACCGGATCTCAAGTCCATCTTAGAGAAGACACAAGCACCTTGTAAAAGATCGAACAAGTCATCAATGCGAGGAAGAGGATACTTGTTCTTAATAGTTACCTTGTTCAACTACCGGTAGTCTATGCACATCCTAAAACTCCCATCCTTCTTCTTCACAAACAAAACTGGAGCACCCCAAGGAGATGCACTTGGTCTAATGAAGCCTTTGCTCAACAACTCTTGAAGTTGGGCTTTTAACTCTCTTAACTCCGCGGGAGCCATTCTATAAGGGGGTATAGAAATGGGGCGAGTACCCGGTTCAAGATCAATACAGAAGTCAATATCCCTATCTGGTGGCATACCAGGAAGATCTGTAGGGAACACATCCAAAAAACTCACGGACTACCGAAACCGACTCAATTGAAGGTACTTGGATAGTATCATCCCGAAGGTGTGCCAAGAAAGCTAAACAACCCTTACTAACCATTCTCTTAGCACGAAGAAAGGAGACGATACAGACCGGATTGGAAGTGTAGTCACCCTCCCACACTAACGGATCTGTCCCAGGTTTGGCTAACGTCACAGTCTTAGCATTACAATCCAAGATCACAAAATTCGGAGAAAGCCAAGTCATACCCAGAATTACATCAAAGTCAACCATTTCTAAGATAACCAAGTCTACATGAGTATTGCTCCCCATAAAAGTTACAAGACAAGACCTATACAGCTTTTCAACAATCACAGACTCACCCACCGGAGTAGAAACACGAATAGGCATATCAAGTAATTCATAATGTAAATTAAGACCATTAGCAAATGAGGAAGATACATAAGAAAATGTGGATCCGGGATCAAACAATACAGAAGCCATGCAATCACAAACCAAAAGATTACCTGTGATGACAGCATCAGATGCCTCCGCTTCAGACCGTCCAGGGAAAGCGTAACAATGGGCCCTATTGTTCGTCTGTCCGTTGCCCCTACCATGTTGTGATGTAGTGGCTCCAGTTTGCCCATCACCCCGGCCGTTTTGGTGACCACTATTACCTCGACCACCACGTCTTCCAGAATAACGGCCTCTACCATGACCACTTCTACCTCTAGCTATTGGGGGTCTATAACTCTGTTTGGGACAATTCCTCCTAATATTTCCAGTCTCTCCACATCCATAACACTCTCTGGATTCAAGCATGGGTCTCTCAGAGAAGTGTTGACCGGTCTGAGGTGGACCCCCAACTACAGTCTGTAGTGAAGACTGAATTGGTCGGACTGAGTGACCTCCTGAACCTTGTCCTCTAGAGTAAGAGCCATTAAACTCACCTCCCTTTCGAAACCTTTTTGATGTCGATGCCATGGTGAAGTCATCTGGCTTCACTCCTTCCACCTCTATCACGAAGTCTACCACTTCTTGAAAAGATTTCGCTGTAGCCGCTACCTGTAAGGCTGAAATCCACAATTCTGACCTCAACCCCTTCACAAAACGGCGAATCCGCTCTTGTGGACTAAAACAAAGCTGAGTGGCATATCTGGAAAGTGCACAAAACTTAGCCTCATATGCAGTAACCGACATCCTACCTTGCTCTAGGCTCAAGAATTCATCTCTTTTCCTATACCTCAAAGTCCGTGGAATATACTTCTCCATAAACAAGCTAGAGAATGATGTACAAGTCATAGGTGGTGCCTCTGTTGGTTGACACTCAACATGTGACCGCCACCACATTTTAGCGTTCCCTTGAAACTGATAAGTCACGAACTCAACACCAAACCGTTCTACTATACCCATCTTGTGTAGTAGCTCATGACAGTCAACCAAAAAATCGTAAGCATCCTCAGATTCAGCACCCTTGAAGACTGGGGGTTTCAATTTCAAGAACTTACTGAAAAGTTCATACTGATCATTTGTCATTATAGGCCCAGTAGTCAGACGTGGAAACGTGCCTATGTCCAATGAGGCATCCATACGAGGAGCCATAGTGGCTGCATGTTGTACCTCTGAAACCAGAGGTGTTGGTGCAGAAAACACTCGAGGGGGCCTGACCCTGATCAGACAACCCACTAAGATAAGCGAGAACCTAATTGATCATCTCTGGGGTAGGTTGGGGTGGCAATTCCTCATTTTGCACTTGTTCAGTTTCCCCTTCCTCCCCTACTCTTACTACTTCCTCAGTCGGTGGAGGAGTCACCGCCCTAGTATCAGATGGGCTAGGTGCTCGTCCTCTTCCTCTAGAGGACGTCCTCCCACGACCTCTACCACGGCCTCTTGCCGCTACTCTTCCTTGAGCTACGGCCCCAGTTGCTGGCTCGGACGCTTCTTGTCTTGCCGATGTTGGTGTTGGCGCAGTCGTTGCTGTAGTTCTAACCATCTGCGAAATAGAGTGAAGATGGTCAGATACCAATTTGTATCACCTAGATACCAATTGGATCCAAGTAATAGCACGAAAGAAAGAATGAAAGAATGGAATTTTCCTATAGTCTTATAGCTTCTCAAAGAAAAGTAAAGGTGTCCCCCTACCGTTCCTTAAGACTCTACTAGACTCGTTCTTGTGTGATGAGACGAACGAACCTAATGCTCTGATACCAAGTTTGTCACGACCCAAATCGGGCCGCGACTGGCACCCACACTTACCATCCTATGTGAGCGAACCAACCAATCTAAACCTCGACATTTCAATATAATATCAACAGAAGTAATGCGGAAGACTAAAACTCATTAATAAAAACCAATTCAATAACTTCTAAAAAACTCAACAACTATTATTATCCCCAAAATCTGGAAGTCATCATCACAAGAACATCTATGATCAAATTACTAAACTAAGAGTATTCTGAGAAGCTAAAACAAGTAAAAGCTAGTCCATGCCGAAACATCAAGGCATCAAGACATGAAGAGGAAGACCCAGTCCAAGCTAGAAGCATTAGCTCACCCTGAAATCCGGTGTAATGAATACTGGCTAGAATTGCGGTTGAGTTGAAGACGACGGTACGTTTGCTGCACTCCACAAATAACAAGAAGAAAACAATAAAAGTAGGGGTCAGTACAAAACATGGGTACTGAGTAGATATCATCGGCCAACTCAAAATAGAAAACAGTATATACCAAGTAATATCATAAAATCAATTATAATACTCAACATGTAGAAACAACAAGTACCATATCATTAACAATTACCGTCAAGTTCACACACGAGGACCCAAGCCTCAATACCATACTCATTTGGGAATTAGATTCATTAGATTGAGTATATTAACATCTTTCAAGATTCATTATCTTTATTCCTCTTGTGTCGGTACGTGACACTCCGATCCCCTACTACTATGCGTCGGAACGTGACACTCCGATTCCCTAATTCTACGTGTCGGTTCGTGACACCCGATCCCCTAAATCTACGTGTCGGTTCGTGACACCCGATCCCCTAATCTCATTCTATCAATTTATCAAGTCTTCTCTTATACCAAGGCATCATCAATCTCATTACTTTAGTTCATCAAGCCTTCTTTTATACCAAGGCATCATCATTAACAAGAGATTAGGTTTTTATCAAGATTTGGGATTCAATAGCTTCATCATGCTTATTTCATCACAATCATATAATCACATTCATGCATGCATACAATTAAGCACATAGAAGGGTTTACAATACTACCCAATACATATCATTCTCTATTAAGAGTTTACTATGAAAGCATAAAACCATAACCTACCTCCACCGAAGATTAGTGATCAAGCAAGCAATTTCCCAAGCTTTGTTTCTCTTTGTTTCTCCTCTTTCTCGTTCGACTTTCTCTCTCTTTCTCTTGTTCTTTCTATTTTCTTTATTCAAAACCCTCTTTCTTTTACCCTAATTAGCATATAATTAAGAATAAAAGATGGCAATAATAACCCACTAATTACTTAAGGTTACCTCTTTTAACCCCCTAAGTAATTAGACTTATTAACATTAACCCACTAACTTTATAATTAAATCAGGAATAGTCAAAAATGTCCCTTAAAACGTATAAAGAAATCCGACCCAGACTGGGATTACGCAGCCTGCGACGGTCCGTCGCGCCTGCGACGGTCCGTCCTGCTGCTCCGTCACAGACTTCAGAGACTCAATTTTTCTGAAGAGTCTGTGACGGTCTGTCACACCTGTGACGGTCCGTCCTGCCATTCCGTTACGAAGTTCAGAGAGTCGATTTCAGTGCCCAATTTTCAGATTTTCTAAGTGTTTTGAAACGAGACCCTGCGACGGTCCGTCGTGCCCATGACGGTCCGTCGTGAGGTCCGTTGTCTCAGCCAGTTTTCCAGAAATAAAATCTGCTGCTCAAAACGACTAAACAGGTCGTTACAAATAATCATATTGTAAAACCTTTTAGTGTGACAAATAGAGAACAAAATTTGGAAACAACACTTCCAGATCTTCAAACAGAATTAATACATGTAAAGAAAGAAATTAAAAAGCTCAAACAAAAACTTGACAATTCTGAAGAAATATCCACCCAAAATCAAAGTTTATTAGAACCATTAGAGATAACTCAAATGATAAGATCAGAAGTCAATACAATTGTAGTAGTTAAAGCCCATAGCTCTCATATATCTATTACTTTAGTTATAAATAAAAATTACTTTATTCAAAAAAAATGTTTCATTAGATACCAGTGCAGATCAAAATTGCATCATTGAAAGGATTATCTACTAAGTATCTTGAAAAAAGTACTATTGGTTATAGTACTATCTATTATCAAATTTCAAAATGATTTAATAAATAAATAATTTTTATTAAGAATCAGACAAAATAGGAACTTAGTATATCATACCCTTCTCAGCTAATTTTGTTGTGATACCAAGGGGACGAATTGAGTTTCAGAATGGAATCTTAAGTAAATTCGGACAGAGTAACGAAAGGAAACAAGAACAAGCAAAATACAAAAAAAAACTTTAAGAAAGATTTAATCAAAGAGGAGAACAAAAGCAGTAAACAAACTTTAAATTCTTAAAACATAAATTTAATAATTAAAGCAAAGTAAAGAAAGTATACTTATAAAATACTTTTTAGTGATTAGAAAAAAGTGAGAGAGAACATGGGAGAAAATGAAAATAATGAGGAAAATGGAGAGGATTGTAGAGAGGATTTCAAATAAGATTTTGAATATCCTCTACTGATACAAGTTGAAAGCCTTAAATAGGCCTCGAAAGTGCTGACTAACTAAATTATTATGCTATCTATTTTACATGTGTGCGTGTACTAATATAAATTATTAATTTTACACATATCTACTATCTATTATACATATGTGATTATATTTTTTCGTGACAGGTAATATATGTCACGTAGATGCATACATAGCTTTGTTATAAATATATTTTCTTGTGTTGGTTTGTTGGAAAATTCTTATTTTTTCACTTTGTGGCTTGGACTTTTGTCCTTGTGTGCTCCACGTGTTGGTGGCATTGTTGATTGTAAATGTGCTTGCTTTGTCCAATGCTGAATTTTATCTTTGAATTTTTTTTTCTCTTGTAACTTGTATGACATATCTTTGGAGGTTGGGTCTATTCCTTGTTAATTCTTTTGTTGATTTCTCTTTTGTTTATCACCAAAGCGTGTCAGCACTTTCTTTTAATTAAGAAGGTAATTTTGGGCTATTCCTTGTAGATGTAATAATATCTCCGTTGTTGAGCTCGTCTATGTGAGACATCAATATTTAATAATTAAAATTTTTATTTGGTATCAGAGCCAAGTTGGCAGGGAAGGGTATGAGTAGGAGCGACTAAGTTCCTACGAAGCCTCTATTGATGGAGTAGATAGTTTAATATAACCTAAATCTTTCACAAAAATTTTCTAGTTCCTTTTGTGATATTTTACTATCCTTTTTTAGTTGATTTTTAAGTTTCATATCTGCATGTACTTCTATTCCAGTAATATTTGTAAAATTTATGAGTTCACCATATATTAGTTGATTATAAGAAACTTTTCCTTCAAAACCTATCTTTCAATGTTATTCAAACCTTTTAAGCAAATAGTGTTGGTAAATTACTAATAAATTTTTCTTTCCAATAGTCCTGCTTGTAATCTTTGAGAATCATATCTTTTTTTATGAAGACATTTTTATACCACCTAAAATCATATAACTTTGGACAAGAATTGGATATAATTATTTATAATATTATCTTCTAGCTAGTTCTAATCTATTTATCTTATCCTTCTTTTTATTAGAGGCTTGATTATCCTTAGAATGGTATCTGAGTTTTCTACAGTTCCAACACGCATTACTGTGGAATAAAGTTCAAAGCCAGAAAGTGACAAAGTGAACCCCGCAAGAATAAAGCCACAAATTGACAAAAGGATCAAATAACAAGATTTATGTTTTGAAGATATGATTTCAGGAAAAGAAGATAAACATGCAGTGAAGGCTACGTGTAAGTAGTTCCAGCTACGTGACATCTATTCCAAGCCACATACAATTATCATCAATTATTTGTAATAGGTAGTAGTTATGTGTAAAAAGAATAATGTGTCTTAGTGTATGCACACATGTAAAATAGATAGCATAAAAGTTAAATTTGTGAGGATTTTTGGAGGCCTATTTAAGATTTTCACCTTGTATCAGTAGGGAGCATTCAAAATATTACTGACTTTGAAAAATCTCTACAATTCTCTCCATTTTTCCATCAGTTCCATTTCTCCCATCAATATTCTTTGTTTCATTAAATCAATAAAACAAAATTTGTAAGTACATTTTTTCTTGCACTTTTATTTTGTTAAATGTTTTAAAATTTAAGTATTGTTTACTGCACTTTGTTCTTCTCTTTACTTTAATTTTTTTTATTCCTTTAAGTGTTTGCTTGTTCTTGCTCCCTTCCATTTGCTTTTACACGTTTCTATTAATTATGATACGTATCTGATAATATTTTTTTGAGGCAGAAAATATATGTGATATGGTTGTACATGTAGCTTTGTTGCATGTATATCTTTTTGTGTTGATTGCTGAAATTTTATACATCGAGTCATTTGTCACTTTGTGATTGAGACTTTTGTTCTTGTGGAGTTCACGTGTTGGTGAAATTGTTGACATAGTAAATGTGTTTGATTTGTCCAAAGATGATTTTTTATAATGGTCTTGAAACTTGTCGTCAATTTTTATAACATATTTTTGAAAGTATTGTCCGCTCTTTGATATTTATTTTCTGGATAATTCTTTTGCTTCTCATCAAAGTGTGCTGACATTTTATTTTAATTAAGAGGTTATACTTGTATTATTCCTTGTATACCTCCGTTGTTAAGCTCATCATGTGAAATAACAATAGTTAATAAACGGATCGAGTTTCAGAACAAAATCCTAAGTAAATTTGGACAGAGTAACGAAAGGAGTAAGAACAAACAAAACACTTAAAGGAAAACTTTAAACAAAGAGGAGATTAAAAACAGTAAACAAACTTTAAATTCTTACAACAAAACTTTAATAATTAAACAAAGTAGAGAAAGTATACTTACAAAATACTTTTTATTGATTAGGGAAAGTGAGAGAGAAAATGGAAATGATGGGGAAAATGGAGAGAATTGTAGAGAGGATTTCAAAGTTAGTAAGATTTTGAATGTCCCTTACTGGTACAAGTTGAAATCCTTAAATAGGCCTTAAAAATGCTGACTAATTTAACTTATTATGCTATCTATTTTACATGTGTGCATATACTAATATATTTTATTATTTTTACACGGTATCTATTAACTATTACACATATTTGATAATAATTTTTCATGGCAGGAAATATATGCTACATAACTGCACACGTAGCTTTGTTGCATGCACATTTTTTTGTGGAAAATCTTGATATCAAGTCCTTTGTCACTTTGTGACTTGGACTGTTGTTCTTGTGGTATCCACGTGTTGGTTTGTTGACATCATAACTATGCTTGATTTGTTCAATGCTGAATTTTTTTGTCATAATAATCATTGAAGCTTGCTATTTATCTTTATATGGCAGATCCTTTTTGAAGCGGGTTCATTTCTTGTTAATTTTTTTTGTTGATATCTCTTTTGTTTATCACCAAAGTGCGTTAACACTTTCTTTTAATTAAGGAGGTAATTTTGTGCTATTCCTTGTAGATTTATCATCTCCATTACTTAGCTCGTTTATGTGAGACAACAATATCTAATAATTTAAATTTTTATTTCGTATTAGTGTTGAGGTTTAAATAAGTGTTTCTTAAACCTTCTTTTTACTTTTTCTTTGAGTCCTTTCCGTAGTATCCTCATTTTATCATATAACTGGGGTCTATGTCAATTAAAAGGACAAAAGTTTGGAGTTGTCATAATCCCGTCGGGGTGATGAACTTGAAATTATTTTATCATTACGGACAAATGACACCTGAATTTTAACTGTCTTGGTTAAATATTTGATCCTCTAAAAAAATTTAAATTCTGGGTCTTGTCAGGATCTTCTGTCACCACATAATTTTTGTTGGTGTAGCAGGACTTTCATAATTTTTATATTTGATTAAGTGTAGTATTTGACAGTACTAGTAACACTTGTTGACTTGTAACCTGTAACACTTGTTGACCTTTATTGCTTCTTATTCGGAGCAAATTTTCCTTCGACTTATCTGTATGTTTATACAATCTTCATCTTGTGAGTAGCCGAAAAAGTATAAGAATGATCTTTTGATTATTCTTTTATTCTTTGTCTCATTAATTTCATAGAAAAAATCTTATAAAAATTTTGAGAGATTTTTTCCCTTTATTTGGAAATTGATAATACAATATAATTTTTATGGATTATTATTTTTTGAAAGAGGGTAACTCCTAGTGCTAAAAAATTCTAGGAGGAGGAGAAGGTTTAATAACCTTTATTGTAAAATTTTCTTGATGTGAAAGCGAATTTATTTGAAAGATATTTGTATCCCTTATAAAGTTTCTTTCCTAGCATTCTCGTATGGATGCCATCTAATTGAAAATTATAAGGCTTTATTGGGTGATGAAAGAAATATCTAATATAATTTCTTCATTTATGTCTTTGGTTATCATGAAATCATTTATGAAACCAATTTCATTATTGCATATGTAAGCTTTCGTGAGTTTATAATTTATTTTAAGTTTTTTTCATGTTGCGAAGAATAATCGAATAGTGTCTTTATCTAGATATTTATGAGGAAATAATCCTTCAATAATGCAATTTTGATATGCGCTTGTATCATACAATGCAATCTTATGAATGATATAATTTTTATTTATAAATAATGTGATGGGTATGTGATAGCTTTGTGATCGAATGACCTTAATTGTATTAATTCCTAATTTCAGTAGAGGTTCTATGAGAGATTACTTGTTTCGATGTTTCTCCTGATTCAGATGATTTACATTCTTCCGGTTCTTGTTTAGGTGGTAGATTTTTAAATGTTTTTATTAGTAATTGATTGAATTTCTAGAGTATTGAGTCTCTGCTTAATTTCATTTATTCCATCTCTTATTTATAATAATTCAGTCAGAATACTTTGTAAAGTTAATTCAGGTTTAATTGGTTGTTTAAATTTATTTAAAACATTTGTCATATCAAAGGGTTTAATAGACCTATTATCAGATAGTTTATCAAGAACTAAATCTCTTAAGACGATTAAGTATTTTTTTTTTTGAAATCAGAATACTCAATATGATCTATCACATCAAAGAATGTTTCTTTATTACTACTAGTGATGACATTTATAGAATGATTCTTGCAGTGCAAATTGCGCGCATTCACAAGGATCTGACGACTTACTATCATAAAAAACATAGGCTATATTTAGTTGATTGTCTTCGCTAAGATTTCATCGGAGGAAGAGTTGTTTTTATTATTTTCTAGGATAGAATACAAAGCATCTTTAACTTCTTTTTCTAATTCAAACGTATAATTGTCTTTCTTTTTATTAGTGGTAGGACAATCTTTAGCTCGATGCTCCATTTTTTCACAGCCCCAACACCTTTCAGTGTTGTTTGTTTTAAACTATTTTTACCAGGGCCATGGTTGAACCTCTTTTTGTAATGATGGGGTTTTTCTGATTTATGATCATTCTTATGGATTCTTTTAAGGAAAAACTTCAGAATATGGCAAACATCCATATGTATTCAAAAAAAATAAATAGGTATATCATATTTTTATCATGTTATATGGATATTATTAGACTATAAATAGCAAAGTTAATTCTATGCAAATAAATATTTTTTTTATATATTTAATATGATAAATAAATATCAAATAGGAAAGTAGTCATAATTAAATGCCTAAATATTTATGGCAGACACATATGTGATCTTTTTCCATGTTGACCATCATCAACATTCATACATTACATATTTTCTGTCCCTCCACCCCCCCCCCCCCCCAAACAAATTCATTCAAATTCAAAATACTTTACATCACCGTGGGAGCGATTTTTGTGATTTTGTATCTATCAGGTACTTTTTAATTATAAAATTCATCTCGTATTTATAGAGTTTGATACTTACAAACTGTATTTTTTTTGCTCGTTTGTGTAATGTATCCATACTTATACAGTTTGATACCCACAAATTGTATCTTTTTTGCCCGTTTGTATAATGTATCTATATTTTTCCTTAACAAAAGTGTTGAATTGTATCCATATTTATATACATAGATACTTATAGTATTATATTAGCACAAGTTAAAATATTGATTTATGAAGAAATTATATCTAGATATATAAGTAATATATACAAGATAAAATTTAATTCGGATATACAAGTATAGTTGTATCCAAGGTATTCATTTTTGTGTTTAACAATAATGTATTGTATTCTACATTGGTGTATTCATTTTTTGTTTAACAAATAGTGTATCTAATGTCATGTTGTTCACCTATTCAAACTCGAAATACTCAACCTTCATTCACAAATTCAACAATTTGCTTACAACAATAACTTGAATTAACAAAAGAAAAGCATATAAATGCCTTTACGGCGATAAAATAAGAAATATGGAGACATCAAGAAAATTGAGTATGATGTATCACAATTTTTATTGAACTGATAAAGAATAAAGAATATGATTTGATATGTCTTTATATTAGTATTTTTTAGTTATAAAGTTAATTATGGGAAGTTGCTCATTGTATGGACGTAATGTAAGAATAGTGGGTTATATTTAGAGTCAACTCCTTTTTAGTTTGTTGTACTTAAAGATGTATTAATGTATAAATAAATAAATAAACTATATAAAAATACGGCATAAAAGTTACATAAATTATAGTCATTTATTGTAAATAACATACTTATAGGTATTGATATTCATTAACCCTATAAATATAGTTATTTTTGTAAGTTGCTCTTTTTTTAATTCTTTTAGAAGCCTCTTTTGATGGGGCAGATAGTTTAATATAACCAAAGTCTTCACAAAAACTTCCTAGTTTCTTTTTGTGATATTTTACTATTTCTTTTAGTTGATTTTTAAGTTTCATATTTGTACAAAATTCTAATCTAGTAATATTTATAAAACTTATGAGATCACCACAGGTTAATTGATTATAAGAAAATTTTCCTTGAAACCTATCTTTTAATTTTGTCCTAGCCTTTTCAGCAAACAGTGTTAGTAAACCACTAATAGATTTTTTTTTCCAATACTTATGATTGCAGTCTCTGCGAATCATAACTTTGTTTATGAAGACATCTTTATACCACCTAAAATCATATAATTTTGGACAAGACAGATTAGATAATATGTCTAAACTTCTATCTTGAAAGAATTGAGGTTCACCTATAAAGTGTTTGACTATATTATAAATTAAGCTGACAATGACGTATTCTAAAATTTGACTTTCTATAGTTTATCCTCCAAGCTCAGTTTTAATTATAGGGATAATAATAGTTGCATTTACTACCTTTTCCCTATTATCTTTGGTGAGATAGTTGTTCCACCATCTTTTTAATGTGCTAATAAATTTGGCAATAATTAAAGTAGTAGCTTGTTTATCAGATAAGTTTTTTATTTTATATGTCGTAATGGCCATATCTATTTCATGTAATTTATTATATGTTTGATGTTATACGAGTCCAACAATATTTCATTCCACAATCTCGCTTTCAAAGTGTGAAGTATGAGATAGAAATTCGTTTTCTCCATACTACATATCTGAAAAGGAAGATCTCTTGTAATAATATTTTTTCATAGAATAATTAGAACCTAATTTATTAATTTGATTATCATTATTTTTGGACAATGTATTTATGGCCTTGGATTTTAGCTTCTCATCAATTATTCCTATAAGTTCATCAGTAATTTCAAGTTTCTCTTGAAAGTTAGGAAATTTATCTTTGGAAAGTTTAGGTAATTTAAATATTGGGTGAGTTTTTAAATATTTATTTTTACCCTTATAGAAAGAGCTTGGTTTATGCTTAATATCTGATTTATTATTAGCTTTTAGAATTAGATAAGATACTATGTAACGATGTTACTCTCATCTTTTGACATAGTATTTACATAGGATTATGTCCTGGAACTCGGTTCGTCCCCTCCATTGGTATTAGAGTCAAGTTGGCTGGGAAGGGTATGAGTAGGAGCGACTAAGTTCCTACGCTGTCCTTGGGCGGACAGCTTCGAAACTTAGGTTACGGTTGGGGTGATAAGTTCGGAATTTGATAGTTGTTCTTCTTCGATTATGTTCTTATTTTTATTCCTTGAAGTGGGGTAACCGGATAATTTCCGATTTAGACATCGGCAAGGTCATACTTTTCCGTTGAATTAGCTTAGATTGTGTGTGTCATAGAGCCAAATCCAAGAGTGTTTCTGTCGCCAAGCCGAATCCGGAATAAAATCAAAGAAGGTCAGCAAAAAAAGGTAACAACAATTACTACACAAAGAATTTAGTTTCTGGTAGTAATCCTTAAAGTAGACATTTAAGCCCAAGGATGACGTTCTTCTCCCCACTAGAGTTTCCTTAATTTGAATTGAATTCACCTACACATCAAAATATTTTAAATAGTATGAACATATCTGCCACCTCTAATAAAATTGCAAAAATTGAAAATGATCTACAAAATTAGATATTTCAAAAGAACACTTTAAAAAGGTTTATAAAACAGGACACTTTGATTTTATTAAAAATTATAATATTAAGACTTTTGAGTCTACCATTGCTATAGATAAAAATATTGAGACTATTAAATTATTAGTAACTAACGATATTAATAGATATAAGAGAAATTATAAATTTCTTCACATAGGACTTGTTTAGGTAGCAGTCAAACCATTATATAGATTAGGTTTATATGTACCCATATGTCTTCTTTTAAGAGATATAGGTTATTAAATTTTGATGATTCATTATTAGCAGTACTACTAAGTAACCTTGTGAATGACCCAGTATACTTTAATTGTTATCCTAATTATTCAATAGATATTAATGATTAAAACGTAATTGATACATTAAGATTAAATGTTAAAACTAAAAATATGAATAGTAAAGCTAATACTAGAGAAATAGCCATAATATATAAGGTATATCATAGATTAAATTAAAACTATCTTAGCCTCTAGGGGCTAATACGATAAGTAATAATGAGTTACCATATTCATGGAAGCAAATCATAACCATAATAACATCTTTTTTTCAAAGATGATAATATGCTCTTAAATATTTTTTTAATAGTCTAGATCTTCGATATGTTTAATTTATCAAAGAAAACTTCTTTATTATTGCTGTTAATGACATTGATGGAGTGATTTTGGTAGGAGTAAAATACACCCTTACATGAATTATTATTTTCAGAACTATCTTTCATATTAAGTTGGTCATCTCTTCTAGAATTCCTTTTGGAACTAGTGTGATTTTTTATCAAGAATTGGGTATAATTTATTTAAAATATTATCTTCTAGTTCTTATGAGTGTATTGTAACAGATACTGAGTTAGTGAAGATTGAACATAAATTAGCAGATAACAATGATCCAAATAGTATTCAATTTTCAAGATTCACAATTAAAAGACTATTAAGTCCTTTTGAGTGGTTTGTGGATCATCTACACACCCCCATACCATTATCATCTTCTTATCGTCCCTAGATGTATAATTGATATGATTACAAGGTGGCTTGGTAAAGACACTATCCAATTATTCTCCGCAACAGGGGAAAAGGTTAAAATAAATTATAAACTCAGAAACTCTTACATATGCAATAATGAAATTAGTTTCATAAATAATTTCATGATAATCAAAGACATAAATGAAGAAATTATATTAGGTATTCCTTTCATCACTCAAATAAAACCTTATACATTTCAATTAGATGATATCCATACCAGAGTGCTAGGAAAGAATCCTACCTAAATACTATGTCAAAATATGAAAATAATTTCATAAATGATAAAAATATCTTTGAAATAAATTCACTTTCACATCAAGAAAATATTACAATAAAGGTTATAAACTTTCTCCTCCTCCTAGAATTATTTAGTATTAGGAGTTACCCTCTTTTAATAAATAAATAATTTAAACAACGACTGCTACGCAACCATAGATTTTCCATTAAAAAAATTATTTATATTATCAATTTGCAAATAAAGGGGAAAAATCTCCAAAATTTTTGAAAAGAATATTCTAGGAATTAATGAGACATTTAAATGATAATTGCAACGCTACTCAGTATATTTTTCATAAAAATAATACATTTTCTAGATGGAAAATTTATTATACAACTTTGTTTTTCAAATAAAGGGGTAAAATCTCTCAAAAATTTTAATAAAAGATTTTTCAGGGTCAGGAATAAGACTTTTAACAACGTTCAAACCTGAAGAAAAAATCTTTGAAACTTGATAAAATTTTTAGAGACTTACTATAATATAAGGCTTCACCAATAATCAATTTTATTCCTCCGATAAGTATTGAGTTAACCTTTCTGGAGCTTTTATTTAATTTTGTACTATCAGATATTGTATTAACATTAGCTTCCTTCATAATTACAGAAGAAAAATAGTTCTTATATTTTAAAATAGTGTGTGTTGTGGAATGATAATCATTTGATGAATGTCTTTAAAACTTAATAAACTTTAGAGACTTGTTGTAATATAAACTTCACCAACTATCAATTTTGTTCCTACGGTAAGTATTGAGTTAGCCTTTATGGTGCTTTCATTTAATTTGTATTACCAATATTATATTAGCATTAGCTTCCTTCACAATTAAAGAAAAAAAATATTTCTTATATTTTAAAATATATAGTGTATGTTGTGGAACTATCTATGAAGTATGTATTGTCATAATTTATTTTGGATCCAATTGATGATATGAGACTATTCATATTCTTTGTAACAATAAAAAATATACTATAATAATATGAGAAGCTAGAAATATAAGAAATTTTAAGAGGCTACACTAAAAACAAAGAAATTAGCAAGACATAGTGATTTAGGAAAGAAGAACTACATAGTTGCAAACATGAAAGAAAATAAAAATTGTTTTTTGTAATCTTGTCCTCTATTAAGGTGATCAGTGTAGTATCTCCACATACACTAAAAACCTCTATAAATTAATATAGGTGGGATCATGATATTTATTATTTTATAGAGATATTATTTAATTGATGAATTAATATTTATTAACTTATAGAATGATTTGAGATTTGATAAAGGTTAATTTTAATTATTACAAAATCATTTCATCTTACTAATTTATATATCATATTTATTAATTTTAACATAAAAATATTATACATAAAATACAACGAATATATCAAAGTCATTACATCTTATTAATTTCAACCTTGTGATGTTGTGTTGATAAAAGCTTTCAAGATGGTTCATCAAACAAATTTTATAGTAGGATATTAGAAGGCTAGAAATGGGACAAACTGATTCATCAAATATCAATGTTTAGGATGCTACCAATTTTACAATCTCTATTTGAACAACAAATGTTCAACAAGACAATTGCAAATTATTTTTGACATAGTAAAACTTCATTCAGAATGCAATCCCTGAGAATTTAAAATTATTGCATTATCCGAGTGAAAATGATACATGTTCAGAGATCAAGAGTTTAGAAGAAATTGTGAATACCATCTGAAAAAATAATGTTGATGATGAAATTGGAGATGATATTATATCTTTGTAACCAGTTATACGTAAGAAAACACTTATCACATCTAGGACTCTTTACAATTTCATGATGCAGTTCAAAAGGACAACACTGATGCTCTTGGATGCAATAAGAAAAATTATAGATGAGCTTCAACTAGATTTAAATTTTAAGAAATCAGAACACAATAGAATCATATTTCACTAAATAATCTTAATTACTAGCACTTTTAAAGAATTATTAATTTAAGATATTAATGGGACCATATATTTATATAGGGGTCTTCTCAAAATATATTATTTTATTATCTTATCGAAGTTGATGATTTTTTTCATTGACCCAAGTTGAGACCAGAGAAAAATATTATTTTAGAGAGATTATTAATTTATCGAGTATTAATTATACATGTTTTACTGTAATTCAATATGCAACTTACTTTATGAATAATACAATTACGCTCAGTCTCAATTTTAAGATCTTGAAATCGAAAGTGTATTCACTCATATCAAGCTTTCGATAATAATGTAGGCTTTAGGTGGTCATGTCGATCCTTTAAATTAATTCTAATTCTACCGGATCTTTCACAATTAATATTTAGTTTTAGTTCTTTATGGAGATGATGACGAAGAAAAATAATGGCTTTCGCTTTATCTTGACTTGATGTTTTATTTCATTGTTTAGTAGTATCTCTAACACCTTAAGCGTCAAGGTGAATTTTAGCATTAAGAACCCATCTCTAAAACCTTTAGCGTCAAGGTGAATTTCAGCATTAAGAACCCATGACAAGTAGTTATTTTCGATAATATCAAATCTCACAGATTCAAACTTTGATAAATTTGACACGATGAAAACTAAATAAAAAGAATAAATTAGAAATAACAAAGATAACTAGTACTAAATTTCTTAAGCAAATAAATTTAAGTAAATCCTTAAGATATAATCATACAAAACAAGTTGGTTATTAATTAATGTAATTATAAAAATAATGACAATACTTGATACTAAGATTTGATTAAACAATAGTCCTATTATTAGGTACAAAAAATTAGTCATATGAATAAAAATTTAAGTAGTATCACAAGATTTTCAAGAAATAAATTACGATGACATTATTATTATTATTATTATTATCATTATTATTATTATTATTATTATTATTACAATACCGGAAAAGGGTTAAATATATTCCTAAATTATAGAAAAAGATATTAAATACCTTCATCACCTTCTGGTGTAAAAATACCCTTTCTTTCAATTTTTTAATTTTAATATATAAAAAATTTAACGTGCTAATCCAACTTCATTTAAATCATAGTTCCTAACAGATAGTTGTATGAATAAGAAAGAAAAAAAATACATATATGAGAGAACGATCAAAAAATTGATGAAGAACTTACCTAAAATTGAAACAACAGAAGACTAAACAAACTTGATATATCAGGAAGATGAACTATTTGTTGAGAAGAGAAGATGAAGAGTTATATGAAGGTATGATGGAAATTTCTCGATTTAAGATATTTTATAATTGTGTGTTTAATATTCAGCCACATGGAAGGAATTTAATGAACAAGTAAAATATTATAATTTATATATAAAAAATAAATTAAATATCAAGAAAATGACAATTATATACTTTAACATTACATTAATTTCAATTTCATTCTTCAATAAGAAATAATGAAAATCGAGAGAAAGAAAATTAATGGACAAAACATGAAAGCAGAACAACAACAGTAGCAGATATTATCTTGATCCATAAAATTGAAAATCTTGAACACTATCCAAAGAAGATTAGGAAATTATTGAGAGAGAAAATTAATTCATTTCTGAAGTACCGGATGAAAAATCAACGAGAACATAGAAAAGAGAGCTGTGTAGAATAATAACCACAGTATCTATGAATTTTAGTTATTAAATTGAAAAATTTAATCTTTAGACAAGAGCTGACCTAAGTGTAATGACCTACAAGTATCCCTTAGAAGTTAGAGCACTCTTGATTCGCCACACGACGTACTTGACCTAACAGCGGTCTTGCAAAAACCTCTTAGCTATCATTCATTCCATAAATACGAAAAGTAATGCGGAATTAAAACTTTTCACAACATTATAACAGAAAACTCTTTATAAAAGTAAGGGACAAGTCTCGTCATCACAAGCAAACTAAAAGACATATCTTAATATTTTAGGGTCACGACCCTTTACATTGAATGAAAAGACTAAGTCTTAACTTAAAGAAAATGCTAAAAGAAACATAGATTATGTCCTCGAACATATGAGGACATACCAATCTTGAGAGAAACAACTTCCCAAGCTTTGCCTTCTAAGAACCTTTATTTACCTTCCACCCAAACATTGTACTAAGTATGACATTATGCAAAATCGTGCTAAAAGAGAACATTTTAGTTGAAACATACTTCCAATGCTATTTTGATAAAATCTTCATGAATTAACTTTACAAAACATCATATAAGTCACCATGTATCATATAAAGTAACACTTTCATAAATCTCAACATTTAGTCACACCTTACAGTAAACCATTTATCATATAAATTTTCCTATTCAAAGTTATCCTAAGACTCACCTAGGTAAAACATGAAGAGACCGCTCATACAACCTCTTTAATACACACCTAAGTGATCCTTAAGGCTACCAAGGATAAGCATACTTCATTACTACTCAACAAGTCAATATTCATTTACTAAAGACACTTAGAAGAATCATACTTGCATTTAAGAACTTCACATAAAAACCATACTCTAAGACAACCCCCAAGTTACACTTAGTGCAATGTGAAAGTACATCCAATACTACTACTCCCACCTTAGCGCTTATTGAGAAATCACTTAGACTAGGCACATCATATTCACCATATGCATAACTTTCATCATATAAGACATTATATCAACATACTTCATTAACCTTAGACATATAGTCAACATGCTTCATTTCATAGATTCAACTTACTTCATTAACATCATATAGTGACCCATCCATACATTCTCATAAAGGACAACCACGACTCCCTCCAAATGTCCACTTTTGCAATTGATAGATAGCATCTCATTCCACCACCTACCCTAAGTAGTACACCCTTAAGAAGACTTGGTTCATATCATTCATTTGTGGGGATAGATTTAACCAACATAGACCGTGAGATCTAGACATGGAATCCTGATATTGACCCCTACAAGATGAGGGATCCATACTTGCCTAAGGTAGGGTCATATTCTTAGATTTTTCATGGATTTTAAATAGATATACTTATGTGGACGCATAGTTAAGGGATAAGGAGATTGCTACTAAGTAACTCATTCTCTACTAGTGAGGAATACTAATCTCAAAAGGTACATTGGATACAACATCTCAACTCACGAAGTGTACCCACCCTTTCTTCAAATCCTCTCGTACTAAGCATAACTCCCCCACTGAGTCTTAAACATTCATACACTATAGGTTAAGGGATAACTACTAGTACCACATCTCAACTAACGAAGAGTACTTATCCCTAGAGTTTACTTTTGAATACCACATCTTAATTCACAAAGGGTATTCAACCTCCAACCTATCTTGGAAAGCTCATTTGGAAGAGTGAGGTCACTATTAAATACTTCATATCAGTTCACGAAGAGTGTTCACCCCAAAATCCCTCTTTTCATACTCTAGGAATAGTAAGAATGGTCTACACACTTCATCTCTACTCACGAAAAGTGTCTACCCTACAATCACGCATTTACATTCATTAGAGTCTCATTGAGAAAACCTTTTGATAGACTCCCATTCATACATTTATATTAACTTCTTTCATTCAATCATTCATTCATTCTAGGTATGTGTGAGAGAGTACATGTTAGAACACCTTTCACATAACCCTTATCATGCATGACCTTAACATTTTAGACATAGATCATATTACGTTCATCATAATTTTCACAATATCATGCTTCACATATACACATTCTTCATTCAGACATTAGTATCATCAAGACACACAATCTCAACTTCATAAGACTTCACATGCGTATTCATCATAACTTCACTTAACTTCACTTCATATTAATTGCCATCAAGGCCATATACTTCAAGTAAACACCACCACGATAAGTGTAACATACCACTCAACATAAATTCAATTAGAACTAAGCAATTATAGGACGGCTTACCCTTCATCCAAGCCTTCACCACCTCTTCTCAATTTCTCCAAAAATTCATCATAATATAGCATTTAAGATGTTCATCAAACCCAATTCATGAGTCAAAAATTGAGAATTTGCATGAGCATGGGTTCATTGAGTTTTTGACTTTAAAATCATCAACTAACATCAATAATATCATAATATATCCATTAAAACGTTTTCATGAAAGAACTCATACGTAGAATTCAAAATAGAAGAATTTAGGACTTTGAAACCTTTTTTGAAAAGTCTTTGGATTGGCTCCTTGAATGAAATAAGAATTAAATATGTACTATCATACATTTATTGATGAAAATTCCATGAAATTGGTGAAGAAATCATCCAAGAAATTCAATTCAAGCTCTACCTTGAATTCTAGCTTCAATAATGTTTTTGGAGGGTCTTTCTTGAGAGAGAGGTTTTGATTTTTGAAAAGTGAAGACTAACATAGGTTCTAACTTTATAAACTAACATAAAATACCTAAAAACCCTTGAAACAATCGACCACAAATTAATTAGGATGTGGGGGAATTTCCCAATTCACCCCTCACTAGGCCGATTTGTAGGCAGTGTGGCAGACATCAAATGACGACACCATGCACGGGGCGGCGTCTGATCGACGGCCTGTCCCGCATGGTCGTCGTTTGATTCACAGACCGCATTTTGAGGGGCTATCTTCCCACCACTAAGTTTGGAGCTATGCCCCAAGACGACGAGGCGTCGTTTGTGAGTCATCATTTTGGACTGAATTTGGCAGTTTTCTTGCCAAGTCTTGGGTCCTACTCAAGGACCCTTGGCGTGGTCTTTGGGGAGTATTACGCCAATGTTAAACCCCTAAACATTCTCACCTAGTTCTTAGGGTCCTCCCATACAATCTGGACTCAAAACAACTCATGAAACATGCCAAGGCAACTAGAACACATGCAAGCACATAAACGTCTAGTCGCCGAACGTCTTGGTCGTCCCTTGATGTTTGACTTCCAAACTTTTACTAAACTGACCTCAAACACTAAAATTCACTATTTTGACACATATTATCTCATGAAATATATGTTAAGCTCTAGTTAGACCTATTTCATTTTTTAAGTCATTACACTAAGATCGGAAACCCTGAAGTTAATGTGTAGGTCTTGCATTTAAGTTTGGATGAAAGAAAATTTTGGACAAGTGGGATAAGTCTTCAAACAAAAAGATGAAACAATAGAGTATTCTAGAAAGGCAAAAAAAAGCTAATCTTAGAAATTTGTCTTTGAACAAAAATGACGAATTTGCCCTTGAATTAGTGGAAATTTACTAAAATAGTCTTAATTGTCCTAATTTATCATGCTTCTATATAGAACAAACACCCTCTACCAATCAATCTCTGTCACACCCCTTTTTTCGCGCGGCGGCATAAGGGTTTTTCCAATTTAAGTGACGTTATTGATTAGGGGATTATTTTTTTTTAGAGTCGCCACTTGGAATTGAGTTACGGTGTTCCAAGTCACCTTATTTACATCCCTAATCAAAAGGAAGTTGACTCATTATTTAATGGTCTGCGAAATCAAAAATCGGGTAAGGAATTCTGTTGAACAAAGAGAAGGTATTAGGCACCCCTCGATCCCGTGGTTCTAGCACGGTCTCTTTATGGACATTCATGACTTAAACTAATTTATGAATATTGTATTATTAAGACAAATGTATTTACCCTCATTTTTTGATTTATATTAACATATTTAAAATCATCCAATTTTAGAAGCATGTCAAGTTTTTATACATTATTATTTTTTATTATTCTTTCAACATTTTGCTTATTTCTTAATTTCTCTTCTTTTTTTTAATTGTATTTTTGTTTTATTTTTACATTGATTTTCTTCTTCTTCTTTTTTTACCCTTTTTAATTGTTTTTTTTATGATAATAATAAAATATTTCACATATTTTTAACACTATACTTTTTGTATCTTTTCATTTTTAAAGTATTTTTTTTTTACTTTTTCGTGTACATTTTTTACATTTTTTTATTATATATTTATTTTTTATTTTTTATTATTCTTTTTCTAATTCGAACATTCCTTCTTCACTACTTTTCTTTTCTTTTCTTATTCACGTATTCTACCTCTTTTCCTTATTCCATTTTTATTGTTATTATTTTTTTTTAATCTTTTTTCTTTGAATTTATTATCCTCTCCTAACAAGTTTATTATTATTATTTTTTATAGAATCTAAAAATAATAATGTAAGACAACACACATAATATAATATAAAATATAATTTAATACATTTCTAAACATAACCAAACAAAAAATTCATTCAAATTAGTAAGACATGAAAATAAAAATTTGGATAACTATACATATTATCATTAGAATTATAATAACTACACATATTATCATTAAAAACTAAACATGAAAAATAAGAATAGACTTAGACAATAATTTTACTTAGGCATGAAATAAACTATGAATTATTTAATATGAAATAAACTACGGTTTGTTATAGCAATTTCACACAAAATAAAACTATATAAAGGATATAAACATAAAGTTGATATTAAATATTTGAACAAACTTCATATAAAACATAACGCTTTAACCACATGTGAAATTTGACAACTTTAATATATTGTAATCAGTGCTTGTATAAACATGATATTAAATTATATAAAAAAATAATAAAAAATGGTACCTCTGGCGAAAATTCCACCAAAAGAAAACAATTCGAATAAGGAACCGCGAACTTGAAACCACGAAGTGAACCTCAAAACTCAACCTTTGTTTGTGACTTTTTAAAAAAAGTAAAAAGATGAGAATAATATTTTCTACATGTGTGTTGCTTTCCCTTTTTCTTGATTTCTCCTCTCTTTTCCTTTTTTTTTCGTGTGCTTTTTCTTTGTTTTTCCTGTTTGTTCTTTTTTTCTTCTTCTTTCTGATGTTTTTTTTTCTCTCGTGTGTGTCTTTTTTTTTTGCTCTTTTCTTTCTTTCTTCCCTTTTTTTTTTAATGTTTGTGTGTATGTATATAGGTGGTAAGTGGGGAGTGTTGTGTGTGAGTTGAGTGAGGTGTGGGAGTGGGGTCATGGGATCGTGGGGGAGTGTTGGAGGTTTATTTTTTAAAAAAAAATAAATAAATAAATAAATATATATATATATATATATATATATATCTTTTTTCTCTTTTTTTAACAATCGAAATAAACTTATCTAATAAAAATTATATTTATGTTATTTATTTTTATATCTTTTAAATAAACTTAATGAAAATAATAAAAAGTCAAAATATATTTAATTTAGATTGATAAAATTATTTATGCTCTAAATATTGGTGTTAAACTTAAATTCGGTCAAAAATTACGTGTCTACAATCTCTGAGCTCAAATGAATGAGATAACTTTGTTAGGATAAAAACCACTAGCACCCGTCCACTCACATCTCAGGACACCCAATATCGCTAAGGTAAGAGTCTTAACATAGCAATAAAGAATAGCATGATGCGAATAAACTCAATCCTTACCTAAGATAATATAAAAATCTACAATCTCTAGCATGATCAATTCTACCCAATTATCATACTCGAACAAAGAAATAAAACAAAATCGATGCACTTGATCACCTACTAAGAATTCACCCACTAGTTTAGAAACATGAATAAGCACAAACATACAATCATACATCATATCAAATTTGACAAAATTATAAGTAGAAACAAACGAGAAAGTAGATCCTAGATCAAACCATACAAATGCAAGTCAGTGGCAAACTAAGACAACATCTGTAATAACAAGATCAGAGCACTCGGGCTTAGGCCTCCTTGAAAAATCATAATAATTGGCCCACTCGTCCACGTACAGTCTGAGTAAAAACCCCGACCTCCATTATGTGGAGCTATAGCATCCCTATGAAAAGTTAACCCTCTCACAAACCTGCAAACTTTCTCTGCCTCATTTGGAATAATAGTCATGGCATGCCTAGTAGTTCACAAAAAAGAGCTTCATACTTAGTAACAAATAAACTATCATGAGTCAAACTCTCAAACCATAATTGATTTTCCTCTTTCATTCTCCACGGGATGAACGTTTTTGGAAAGTACTAAAAAACTTATCCCACTCTGTCGAAGGATCTCCAACTGATCTAGACCTCACATAAGTCCTTTATCACTCTTTGGTGGGTCCACAAAGCTGAAGTGCAACAAAATACACAACACGAAAACCCACCATATCTAATGCCTAATGGCAAAAAATCAAGAATTCATGAGCATTCTCACTCTTACCACTCTGAAATTGTGATGGTTTCATCCTTTGAAATCTCTCATAATAGTGCTAGTCAACTTATGTTCGAATAAACTCAGGAGTAATTTGCTTACTAATAGCCGGTACAGGAACTACTGGTGGTTGACCCACCTAATCATGAATACCCAAACTTGTTGTTGACCTACAGTCTGCGCCCCTACCTTCGTCTGAAAAAATTATTTTATTAGATACTAAAATAGAGAAAAGAATAAATAAAATAATTTAGTTTAGTGAAAATTTGATTGATTTGAATCCGAATCGGTTATATAACTTATTACTTAATCTGTTTCGACCCATCCTAATTTGGATTAGATTGGATTATATTGGGTCTTGACTCGTTAAAACTCGTATAAATTTAAGTCAATTCGTCCAACTATCACCCTTAGACATAGGTAGTAGATGAAAGAAGTAAGAAGATTGGAAGAAAAGAGAAGAAGGGAAATGTAAAGCGACTAAAAGAGAGTCAGCAAGGATAACTTTTATTTTCCTATAACTTGTTAATACTTTGGACCTAAAATGTATTTTGGATAAAATGTAGCAAAGTTGGCTTGGTGTAATATTTGACATCCATAGTGTATTATATTTTCTAAATTTAAATTTTGAATTCATTTTCGTTGTAGCTAGTTTCGTCATTCACAAATTTTGAGTTTGCCTCTGTCATGAGCCGCATGTATACCCTAGAAGTTAGGGAATTCTTAGGCCACAAGACGGCGTACTTGACCTCTTGGAGGTCTTGTACAAGCCTCCTAGACATCTTTCATTGCATAAATACTAAAAGTAGTGCAAAATTAAAACTTTTCTTTCAAAACGTAATGCGGAAGTCATTTCAAAAAACGTCTAACATATGTCTCAAAAACCATCTACGACATCATGAGTACAATAGTCTTGGGTCACGGCCCATAAAAGTCTAAAATTGAGAGAATATAAACGACAACATAGTAGTGACGCCCTCGGATGCTATGAGGACTCACCAATCTTCATTCCTTGCAAGCCTTGGAAACTCTACCCTTGAAAGTAACTCAATATTCTCAAGACCCTACATGGACAACATATAGGCAATTTGCATTAGTACGATATGTACTAAGTATGAAAACTATAATCCAAACATAACATATTTCAAAGGGTTAGTCAATAATAGACATAATTATAAGAGATGAAAGAATAATCATAACATGAATAACATAAGCATAATAAAGCATCATAAAGTCATATAAGAGTTCATGCTAAAATCATTGTCTTTCTTACTCAAATGAACTACCTCACAAGCCACCTCCAAGTATACTAGTGCAAGGCTAAGGTAGCATCCCATACAACTACCAAAGCTAATTACATCTCTTTGGTCATCCTTGATCATAGTCCATTTTCATAATTAAGACTAAGTTCATCATATCATATGAGCAATATTCCCTTAGGACACCCCAAAGTATACTTGTGCAATGCATGTGAAGCATCCCATACTACCTTACAGACTAAGCATATCCTGAAGTCACCTAATCTTATTTCATCAAGTCTCTAGTAGCCCTACTTAATACTAAAGAGTAATATACTCTTATGATTTCCTCAAAACATGCTTGGGGCAATGTACATAAGGTAGCTCATACTACCTCACATACAAAGCCTGTCTTGAAGTTATCCTTAACATGTTCACCCTCCATAGCCCTATCATTACTTAACTTTATTTATTAAGATTCTCTCTTCTTTAGTCTACTTTACTAGGAAAGGCAACTCAAGTCCAATCCTATATTCAGTATTTTCTTCTTTAATGACCCTAGGTTATACATGTTCAATGCACTTATGATGCCCCATAACACCACTCATGCAAGTTACTACTTTTGGATCTTTTTCTATTACTTCTTACTTTGGAGTCTAGCCCCTATATTTATCTTTTGAACACTATGAATACTTCTTTATGTATGTCTAAGTTCCTTAATCATATGGATCCTGCGAGATACTTTTTAAGGTATGTCTTGATCCCTTAATAATCATGAACACTACGAGATACCCATTGGGCATGTCTAAATTCATTCACACATTATGAACACTATGAGATACCCCTTGGGCATGTCTAAATTTATTCACACATTATGAACACTAGGAGATACCCCTTGGGCATGTCTAAGTTCACTCATTGCTTATGAACACTACGAGATGCTTCTCAAGCATGTCTAGTTTTATAGTATATAGAGATATCTACTAGGATACCTTGACTCTACTACGTGAAGGACTCCTGCCTCATGAGACCTACTTGGATATTCATCACAACTACTAGGTGTGTCTCTCCTTTCTACTTGGAGTCCAGACCCTTCTAGACCATCCATATCACTTTGCATATCCACTTGGAGTCAATCATATACTCCAAGGTTTACTTGTCAAGCTCTGCTCAACCTTTTCTCATTGAGGGATGTCCTTGACAATCTCCATGCTCAAGTGAATTCTATCACTTTCAATCAACCATCCTAAATCTTCAGCCAACACAATCATCCTAAGGTTCATTATTCATCAATTCATTATATCTTCATTCATGTGTAAATTATAGAGTCTTCTAGCCTTAGCTTTTTTCACATTCTTCCAAACTAGGTGAATAATGTCATACTTTCTTCTTTAGGGGTCAATTCAATCAAGACCAATCTTAATTCATTAAATATAGTTCAATTCATTCTTAGGTGATTCAATCATGACCAATTAATATAGAATAAAATCAATTTATGAAGAATTAATACAAAACCTTCATCTAGTCTCTAATGGCCTAATATCACGATGATCACCTTCAAATTCAATTACCATATTAACCATGAAAACTCTATAAAAACAATATATAATCATCAATAAGCATCATTGAATTCTACCCACTAGATTGGGATCACAATTAAGCCTTACCCACAATGCAATCACAACCCTCTCTAGATTGGGGTTCTTTGGATTCACAATTGAAGGAGAAACTAAGGGAGATTCGTGGATGGAAGAATCCATGAATGAATAAGCTTCAAATACCTTAAATTAGATCCTGAAAACCCAGGTTTATTCCTTGATCATTTCGTCATAAAAGCTACTACAATTTCCCTTCTTCTTCAATGCTGGTTTTGGGAGAACTTTGGGAGAGAATGGTTTTGATTTGTTATTTCTTATTGGATATTGGGGTTTTGGCTTGGTAAAGGGGTTAAATAAGTCCTAAAAACCGTTTCTAACCGTCTCCCAAATTACCCAATTACCCCCACATCAATTTGACCCTTTTAGACAAGTACTTGACTTAAATTTTTTAAACTTCCATCAGGGAACAAGTCCACGACGTGGAGCTGCTCCCGCATGATTTTTGAAAATAAATTTTAGGAAAGTAGAGTCCGCGACGTAGAGGCATAATTTGGCCTTGGGAGGAACAAGTCCGCGACGCGGACATGTTCCTTTCACGTACAATTTATGCTGCCTTGGACAGCTTCATCGGCCCATGTTTGGGTCCTCCTCAAGGTTTCTTTGGCTGGTCTTCGGGGTGTCGTTCTTGAATGTTTTGAACCTTTACATGTCAAGAAATGCGTAGGAACCATCAAAATTTCACCCTCAAACAATACCCAAAACTCCACTACAAAACACTACGACACACTAGTTCAACTTCAACTAGTTTCCAGACGTACTAGATGTTTCACCTCCAAACTCTCGCAAACTTCACACACTGCTTCTAAACATTATAATTAGACATTTTAGAAACTTATAAGCTCACGACACACGTGTTAGGCCCTATCTACACCTAATTCATTTTTGGGTCCTTACAGCCTCTATTCGTTAAGTAGTTTTTTGATACTTAATCATTTTGAAAATATACTTTTAACAACTTATAATAAGGTACATAAGACTGTAATCTTTCTTTGTTAGAGTTTTCTGTTCTTGGGTACTCGTAGTTCAATAGGAAGAAGGATTACTTTTAATGTAAAGATATTGTAGATTTATGAGTAAAGAAGAAGAAGAAGAAGAAGAAGAAGAAGAAGTTATTCTAAAACTTGTGTAAGCCCATTGTTCATCTCCTATTTATAATAGTTGTGATATCTGATCACACTTTCTAATTCTAACAAACTTACAGGTATTCGTAACTAACTAGCTAACTAATTATTGAAAAGTTGGTTACACGAAAATAGTGGTTAGGGAACATATATAAGAACCAGGTTCACATATTTGATCCTTCTTGTTGTTCTCATTCTCAACAGATATTGACCATGATTTTTTTCACTTTTTCTAAGAGTTGAACTCTGAAATATACATTTGGCGATAATATTTTGGAATTTGACTTAAGTTGAAATTTTTCTCAAGAATTTCAAAAATAACAAAAATGTGTTTTTACTTTTTCACTCCAAATTTCTCACAAAAAAATAAATAAAAACTTTCAATTTATATTCATAACTAAACACAACTCTGATTTTCTAATATCATTTTTCATTTCAAAAGCAAATATACTTTTTTTAAAATTTGACAATGAAATATGGTAAAATGCCCACTTATCCTCTTTTATTTTCAATATTCATAACTACGCTAAAATATAAAACTATTTACTATTATTAATTTCTGCATTCTTTTTAAGGACATAATTGCTCATTTAAGTCGCCTATAGCATTTGAAAATATTTTTCTACACATGGGCTCATAAGCTCTTGCTTCACGAATATAAGAAGAGTAAAGAATCTAGGCTGACGAATAATTCTTTTTATGTTTATTTGATAAAAAAGAATCTCTAAAAAGAGTAAGTCTTTAATGTCTATTTGAAAAGTCACATGAAAAATAGAATTAGATGTAATTGAATCTAATTACATAATTTAATCGAATCATCATCAAGTTAAAAAATACTATACTTAAATATTATTTATAGAACACATATTTGTCAAATATTTACTTTCAATTTTTTATAATTAACTTTTATTAAAATTTCATTCTGCATATTGAACTATTTGCTATAGATGCAAGTTTCTGGCTTTGACAAGCAGGGTTGCTCCATACAATCAGCCCAAGATTCGATACCTCATATTTTGGGTCATTGGTACAAGTGCTCATATTTTGGATCATTGATACAAACGCTCATACTTTTGATTTTTGGTAAAACTATTTAATTATACAACATTATCATATTTATTAATTTTTCCTATAATTTTTTAGAAAAAAACATATTGTTTTACTAATTAATAATTTACAGTAGATTTAAAGTCAAACGATACACCTAATGACCTAAATATATGATTTTTTGCTTTCATATTCACTCTGAAATATAGATTCATAGAGAGAGACAAGTGAGAGAGTCTGTGTATCATATATATACATGTGAATCCAAAGTGGAATTCCTCCTTGCTTTCCCCTTTGACCTGTGCCAAGCTCCACTTTTGCTGTTGCCAGGTGGAATGATTCATTCAACCTCGGTTTCGGCAACCAAGACACCCTTATCTGTCGAATGAATCTTCAAATCATCATCACATAAGATAAATGTATTTGAAATACTACATATATACATTTTGAAATATAAATATAAAGGGAGAGATGAAAGCGAGATAAGAGAGGGCGCGAAAAGTCAAATACATGTAAGTCCACTTCAATACAATGTATTTAGATCAAATTGCACATAAATTAATCCTCATATTTTCAATGTACATATATCTGAATGAATCAGAAATATGTATCTTAAGTCTGAATACAAGTAAAATTTATAATATTGAATACTCGCGCGAAGAATTAAAAGCAATTTGCTTGAGATTTGTGTTGTTTGACCTTAATTTCCTCATGAAATCAAGAATGAGATTCAAATTGATTGCAAGAGAACAACATTTTTTTTTTGGCTTTAGGTTGTCCTAGGATCAAATAACTAATGATAGTATGTTTACTTATTCATTTTATTTTCTTCTCTATATCAACATGGCTATGTAAATAGCAAGGAAAAAATTATATGCATGGTATAACAATTATGTGCTTGTATTTACTATTCATAATTATATTTTAAGACATGATATACTTCTCTCTCTCTATATATATAGGGGATGATGTCTATTGTCTTATGACCAAGATGTCCTAATTTGAACAGCTATACAATTTTCTGTCATTTGAAAACACAAAAACGAAAATCACGTTTACCTCCCTATTCTATGTAATTTTGTGATGTCAAGGCAGTTGTGGACACCAAGTCTATCGCCACACCGATCATCAAATACGAGTTCGGGCACCATGTTTTACAAAAATAATTGATAATAAATAAATTTTATAGCTAAATATCGAAGTTTATAACTAATTCTATTTGGTGATTGAGTAGCTATACGGTTTTATCATAAAAGTTTATTAGCTACAAGCAACTTAATGATGAAACTCACGGGTAATTCTAATTTGTTTTTGTGTTTTTAGTGAGTTTAATAATGACGTATATTTGTAAAACTAGACCAAATACATGATAAAAGATGTTTCAACATTTATTTGTCAAAGACTTTTCTTCTATACTTATCCTTTTATGTTTTGTCCCTTTAATATTTCCATTTAAATAAAGTGGGATAAAGAGTTTATCTTTTCCCTTTCTTTTTATCAATTTTGGTGAGGCAAAGGATATGATTTGTCAATATCAACATATTTAGCTACAAGTATTGGACTAAGTGAAGAGTAGTGAGTAATTAATTACATCACAAGTCAAATATTCTTGGCCATAATTCAAAGTTCCTTGCTTTTAAGCACATGACTTTGAGATATTTTGATTACATATAGAATCATTTGTCCAAAATAATTAAGCACATGCATGTATGTCCTTACAATTGCTAAACATGAATGCCTATACTCCCCAATCTAATGCTAGTGTGTAGGGAACATTGTTAATCATATCATTAAGTGGATAATTGCAGAGAGAAATTAATATGAAATAAATGAAGAACTATACATCAAATCATTAAAGGTCGTTTGATTTGAAACTAAGTTATGCTATGATTAATAATTATATTGAGATTAGTTATTCTGAATTGGTTATCTTGATATTAGTATTTCTTTTTTGTTGACTGTTTTGTTTGTTATATTAAAAATAATATGCATTGCATAACTTTTAAGATGTTGTTTATTTACAAAACCCGCTAAGGAATCTCAAGGGCATGTTCGTCATTTTCATTGTTTTGTCCCACAATAACTAAGATTACTATAGAACCCATAAAAAAAACAAATTCTGAATCAGCGATTTATTTTTTTTAACACAAAATTAAAAAAGTGATGTTCGGTTGTGTTACAGGAAAATTAGCATAAACATACAGGACAGGACAATACTGTGTGAGTGTTTAGCAAATCCTGCAATGATTGGATTGTGTTGCTTATGTAATGGAGAATCAAATCACATTATAATCCAAAATAACAGTTAAAATAATGTATTTAATTAGATACCTATTGATAGTGATAAGAAACCCTGAGCATCAAATGATGGATGAATCAATTCTCCTATTTCCACCAACATGCCAAATCTTTTACTAAATATTTATAAATTGAAGTGTCACTGTATAATCTAGGAGGAATCTTAACATATATCTAATTCTTAATCTCCCCCAAGAACATGGTGATGATTACTGATGTATATGTCAGTAAAAAAATAATTCAGTGCATAAAATATAAAACATTCGTAGGATTCGAAGAAGGACCATACTTTAAAGAATGTGATGTACGTAGACAGTTTACCATGCAAACAATAGTGATCTATATATGTTGTGAACCCTTTAATTATGTAAATAAATATATTTTATGAATAGAAATATGTCGTTATTATTTATAAAAGACCATATACGTAGACTGTCTACCAGACTACCATGCAAGCATTAATGAGTTACATATGTTGTAAACCCTTTAATTTTGTAAATAAATGTATTTTATATTTAGAAATATATCATTATTGTTTATATTTATTTTAATTGTGTTTTGGGTTGAGAATGCATGCAAATACAAAATAAAAAAGAAAGCTTACAGTTTTAGACTTTTAGTCAAGAGGCAAACAAAATTTACGCGCGTAGTCGTAAGTGGCACAAATCTGTATTAGTGTATATTAAGTGTATACCAAGTATAATACTTATACAAACATGTATTCAATATAAATATAATACACATATAATAATTGTACAATCAGTATGTCATATATACAGAATGATTATGCATAATTATACCGTTCTTATATAGATTAATTTCTTTGTGTATATGATTATATCATCTCTGACTAGCTATATGACATCGCCTTGTAAACTATTATACATCTCATCAGCTAGTTAATTAATTAAATACGACTAAACAGTCAATTTTGTGTCTTTCTTTCTCTAAATACATGATATTAGCTGCCGTTGCCAGCTCATGTTTTCCTCCCAATGCATGTTCTTTAACTAAAAAATGGTTGGTGGACTATATAATTAAGCAACAAAATATAGCGCAATTAGCTTGACAAGTGACATTTTCATGAAAATGAAGTTCAAACATAGCTAAATATAGACATGTCGTAATGTATTTATGTCTATGTACAAAGCACAAAAAATAAAAATGTACGAAATAGAAATAAATAAGGAGATTATGTTACATAACACAACATCGATAAAAATAGAGATTTCCCACATGGGAGTTATGGGAGTTTTTTTTTTTTTTGCATTAAATTAAAAGGTTGACATGGAAGAATTTACATGCTTGTAATATAGGGAGAGTCCATGTGGTGCTCACATGGTTTTGCTCAAGAAGAGACGTGTGTTTCATTGTCAAGGCTTGAGAAATTTGACCATGAAGCATTACAACATTAATTTGTCATTATATATATATATATCTATAGAGTGTTAATGCATCGATTCAATCGATTAATATTTTTAAATTAATATTATATCAATGAAACTAAAAGACATTCAATACTTATGATTTGCTATTCAAAATCACTAGTATGATTAAGGATGTATTGTTAATTATAATGTTGAGTTATAAGTTTTTTATATAGGAAAAAAGTCTTATTCTAGTTATACTAGGATTTTATTACAATGCAAATAATTATATGAGTAGTATTGTGTTACAAGTCAAATATCTTATTCTAGTAGGCTCCTATAATATTCAGTCGCTTAGTCGTACATAACTTAGGATTTAGTAGTCTAGTTTTAGTATGACTCTAACTCAAACTCAAACTCGTCATCCTGCTTTGATGGACTTGTTCCTTCGACGTGTTCCGTCAGTCGTCAAGCTCCCTTCAACACTTCCCCTCCAGCTAGTGATTGGAGGAACTATAACTCCTAGCCTGCTGCGAAAATCAGAGAAAATCTATTTCGTCAAGACTTTGATATGAATATCAGCTAGCTGATCCTTAGACTTTAGAGTTTAGGGTTTAGGATTTAGAAAACTAAATAAAAAATTGTCCACTAACCACTTTCTTACGAACAAAATGATAGGCCATTTCAATACATTCTTGATTTCTTAATACTTACGTGATCTTACTCCATACCTGATGTCTTGTTACAGTCGAGATGTTGGAATTAATGTAGTATCGATAAAAGCATAATAGGTTTGACCGTTTAAGAATTAAAACTTTAGATGCTAATTATTGGGCGGCTTGTAGCTGTTTAATTTCATCACTCCGAGACAAAAAATTTAATGTTTTATTATTTTCGTTTAGTCAATTTTTTAAACAGGAAAAAATTAGTAAAAAGATTAAAGAGCTACTTGTGCTAAAGTTACTTGGTCCCATTGACAAACTTTAAGAGATGGTGGTCATATAATATACATTTATTTCCATAAAATAAACATTCTTTCTCTGAATATTGTTTATTCGACATAAAATGTGAAATGCTTTGTGTTGATATACATTGAACATTTTGGTGGCTATTAATTAACTATAACATAGAAATTAAATTTTATATTTTTGTAGAACTTAATTATCACCTCTCTTGTCTCTAGCAAAATTTTCAAGTATGAATGAAAAGTGATGAATATGCATTGTGTCTAACTATATACAATAAGATATTATTTTGTATGTCCCGTTGGTCTTCAACTGATCTTCTAGCTGTTTTTGCATAAATTTCCACCATATTAGAAAAACTGTAAGTAAATATTCATAATTATAGCCCCATTTAAGATGATGTCTCAATATAGGAGTATTGTCTCATATGGATTAGGAAGAGTTCTTTTTTGAATCCTAGCCAGCTCTACATAGGAGTTTTATTGAGGTTATTCTTGTATAACACTACTTATTCATATACACTATATATACATAAAAGTGTTGCATTCTACCTAGACTCAATCTTTACGTGATATTGGTCATCAATCATGTCCTCAGTACAAAGTATAACACACTCTGTGGATATATTGGTAAGGTAATAGATGATCCAAAGACATTGGATTGTAATTTCCCCAACAACTTAATATGTAATCATCGTAATATAAGTGTGAAATTATTTTATTTGACTTATTTTCCTCGCGTATATACGTCTTTTATTATCTATTTCAATTACCATATACTATAATATAATAAATTAAAGAAACCACACTCACATCCCATGACAATGACAATGACACTTTCTACTACATCATCTCATTTTTTTTCTGCTCTTTCGAACTCTCTCGATTCATTTTTAATTTTTATTTATTTATACAAACATCATTATCAAATTTTGTTTTACTAAAAGATGTACATAAGCTAGTGTCACTTTCATTGTTCGTCTGGAAAAAAAACTTGCTGTCAATTTATCGACATAATATTGTTTTTTGCTGCCCATAATTATTTCATCAATCTATAATTATTTCATCAAATTTATCTTTCGTATCCCATTAGAATTCTTCTCCACTAGCTCTACATATGCATGCACATAGTCACACAAAAAATTAAAATTTTCACTAAAAATTTAAAATATAAAAACGTAAACGCATAAAATAATAAAAAAAATTGATATATATAGTATCTATATAAAATAATTTTCTGCCTAAAAAAAAGGTTCATCAAAACCCCCTAGCCCCAACCTCCAAGCTGCATACTCATTATACTTTATTTATTTTTATATACTTCATCAGCTGACTTCATGATAATTAAGATAATAAAAGGTACTGGTGTAGAAAACAAATTTTAATTAATTAGGTACTTATAAAATAAAAAGGGCATATGTTGACAAATTCATTTAATTGTTTGATAAATCATGATTGGCCAAGAGTTGATTATCCAATAAAATTTTAGAAAATCAAAAGTTGATATATTCTCTATCTACCAAAAACAGTAGAAGAATTGAGTAGTTAGCACCTCCATATTTGACCTCATTCGAATTAAGCTACTACTATATAATAAAAAAAAATTATCCTAATTCTTCTTTCCAAATTTTTATTTCCTTAATTGTATATGTTCCTAACCCATTCTTTAAATATTAATTAAGATTAAAAAAAAATTAAGAAGTTGGACAAAAGTCTCTAGAATTATTTTTGCTCAACTTTTTAGCGGTTGCACATGTCTGTCGCTTTCGGTCACAATTTTTTTTTTCTTCATCATGAAATTATAAGAAAAACAAAACAAACCAAGAAAACCGTTTTTCATTATTTTTCATGGCTTTTTTAAAAAATACCAACAACTTTCTGATCCATAATAAATAATTTAAAGAAATAATTTGTGTGTCAAACAAGAGGGAATGTATCAAATTCTTAATAAAAATTGCTTGTTGCTAAATACTATAATTATCTTGAGAACTTGATAACCTAAAAATACAAGAATTTTGAATATATAAACTTTAAATTTTGACTTTATTCAATTAAATAACTATACTGATTTTTTAATTTACTACATTATGATATTCCAATTTTTCTCATGGATGATGGATATATACTTAATATGTTGTTAATAGAGAGGAAAATAGATTAAAGGTCTAGATATGGGACCCAACCACCGAAATTTAAGGGGTAAGATTTAATATTAATCATTTATATGTACATAGTCTAATAAACAAAAGTCGTGCTAGCAATTACTTTATTGAAATTCTAATTAGGTTAGATGCTGTTTAATTAATAAACAACAATTAATTCAAATCCAAAATGTAACGTGTCATGTTTATAAGAGGCTTAGTCTAAATTGACAAAATGTAAACACCATTAAAAGAAAGGGATATGAATACTTAATTATGTATGAAAAAAAAATAAAAAACTCCCTCTTCCACTGAAAAAAGTAAATAAATATGTACAGGGTATGGAGTTTTCTGGCCCGTTTTAATAAATAATTACCCTTAGTCTATTTTGTCCTTTTCCCTTTATTGAAAAAAAAAGAACTTATTCAAATGGTGAAAGAATAATTATCATAGTCCATAACAATAGTATATAATTAGGCTTATCACGAAAACGACAGATTGATGTATGTACACATAAATAGAGACCAAAGAGGAACATAGAGAGCCATACCAACAAAATACATTACTAGTACTTATTTTCTTTGTTTTAATTTGATACAAAATTAAAAAATTAAAAATTTTATAATTTTAAATTAAAGGTATGTAGAATATATATCAAAATGTTTGTTAATTTTATGATCTTAAACATGTGAATGAAAAGTTAAAATTAAAAGGATTACCAAAAACAAAAACAAAATATTTTTTAACAAACTAAAAATAAAAATAGAACAAATAATTTAAAACAGAATAAAGTCACTCAAATTAGAGAGCTTGCAATTGAAACAAAGTTATTAAAAGTACTTTGTCACTCGAATATAGTTGAGTAATTTTAAGAGAAAAATCAGTGAGTCATACTATGAGAAAAAAGTGTAATTTGTATAAAAAGGAAAAAAAAATCAATACATTTAATTTAATATTGTAATACAAATTCGATTTGAGGGTGCCGTCATTCTCACTAAATAATATTGAGGATTTATAATCAGATGAAACTATAGCTATGTTAATAAAACATTAATAGATATTTGCTTGGCTGAGTAATTTTTTCATAATATTACTCCTTGTTGGTTGAGAATGGTAAAATTTTGATTTACACAAATAAAATGATTTGTCACTCTTTTCTTTAGGACTAAAAAATGCTTGATATAATTTCTTTTAGAAAAGGAAAATATATTACTTTTTTTGCAAATATTACTGTTGGGGTCAAAAGTTATGGTCAGTCAATTAGTAACCCCTCAGTTTATGAATGAAATTAGTTGAAACAGAACAGAATGCAAGCTACAAGTTGGCAAGTCATCTTCATTTCCAACTAAGCTAGAGATGTCAGACGGATTGGGTTTAATTTGAATAAATCAAATTGAGTTTGAGTTAATAAATAGATGAGTTATTGATTCATTTAAGAGTTATTTGAATTAAAATAGATTGAATTGAAATGGACTAAAATGTAGATTATAAAAATCCAATTAGTTCAAATTTTGTCAAGTTTTTTTTATTATTTTATTTGTTCTTTTATAAATTTGTAGTATTTAATAAAATTATTATTTTCTTCATTATGTCTAAATATAACATATTAAAAAAATAAAAAATAAAATATATGACTCAATTTGAGATACATCTCAACTCAATTCTTGTGAAGTTGAAATGAGTTTTACCTAAAATAGATTGAGTTAATAAATAGGCAGTCAATAATTCGTCCAAACTTGAATGAATTGGTTGAATGAATTTATTTTTCCACCCCTAAACTAAGCTAAGATGCTAAGCATGATATTGTTGTGCGACAGTTTTTCTTTGTTAATTTATGTGATACTTTTGTTTATAGAAAATTAATTTTAATAATCTTTGAAGTTAAATTAAATTAAATCAAATCATGAACATTTTAAATTAGTTTCTATAATAGAAAATTTGACAAAAAATATTATAAACTATACTTCTATTTATGTTAATATATTTAAACAATATAATCTCAAATAAAAATTATATAATTTGACATCACGATAAGTGAAATATATATATAAAAAAAATAATCTAAGACGAATGAAGTATTAATTATGGCAATATAAAAAACCACTCTAATATAAGGCTAGTTGACGTGAGATAAAGAAATATTTTATTGTGTATCTCAGCAACTAAAACTAGTTGCATGAGCCACCTTCCTATCTCAACAATAAATAAATATAAAAATTATCCATTCAAAATTATAAAATTTGCGCTCCCTTCTTTTAGACTCAAAAATTAAAATTGTCGGGTCATTTCTATATTTAATAATAATGATATATTAATTTATTATTTTTTCAAATAACATAAACATTCATTCTAAAAATAGGTCCGCTTCTACTTATTTGTGAGACAAGAAGACATCTCTCACAACTAATAGATTAGGGGATGTGTTGTGGATGAGTAAAAGAAGTTATTTTTAAAAAAACATAAATATGTTTCTTTCTTTTAATTTTAGTTGAACTAGCAGTTTTTTTAAAAAGGACATTTGATATAAATATATAGCCTTTTATATCTATATCCCACTAAATAATTATACTATATACCTTTCATTAATTTCACTTAAGTGATTTAGTATCATATATTATTTGGTCTCGTTAAGACACTGATAAATTTACTTAAGTGATACTAATTTAGTATCTATTAAATAAAATTATCAGCCTTGATGAATTTCAGTATATAAATCTAATTTAGTATTAGTTAAGTGAAAATTATCAGTCTTAATGAAAAGTGATATGAGTTGTAGTTATTTATGAGAGAATGAATATTTCTTGAATTATTCTGGATTTAAATATGAATATGTAATTATTTTGAATTTTATGATCCATTTATGTAGTTTTTCCTTTTTTTATAAGTAAACTTTCAAATAGATTATTACACTCTTTACTTAAATTTATGTATTGTATTAAAATGTTTAATTGGACGCTAATTTTAAGGGGGGAAAACATATTCTTCATACTTTTAAGTATGTATTGAATACGTCTAAATTTATGTATTGTAATTTAAATTTGTAATTGGACGCTAAGTTTAAGGAAAAAATATTTTTCATTTCTTTAAGTATTAAGTATGTATTGAATAGGTCAGGAGATTTATATGGCTATAAAAAGATGTTATTCAACTATAAAATGATGAATTGGAGATTGAGATACATTTTTACCATAATATATATGAATACTTCTCTTAAACTTCTTTACCCTATGTTCTAATAATAAAAAATTGATGTAATAAAGTTTAATATGGAATCAAATATTGTTACACAAAATTTTAAAAAATAATTATATCAAAATTACATCCTGCCAAAAAAACAAAAGAATCTGGAGGTTCTCTTCACAAATAGGCAGAAAGGCGCAGCTGGTTTTGGCTGACCCAAACTTTGTACCCATGAATTAAGTGGGCCCTACACCCAAACGCCTCATGTAATGTAACTGCTCTCTCATTACACATTTCCAATTTTACCCTTCCCCTTTCTCCTTTATATTCTCCCCAAACCTCACTCTTCAACAACACCAAAATTCCTTATTTCTCTTTACACAAACAGCAATGGCGAAAGGAGGAAAACTCACAAAACTCAAATCCGTGTTGAAGAAAATGCAATCCTTCAAAATTGGCCGAGTAAATAGCACCGCTGGCGTAGCAGCAACTCATCATCATTCTTCCTCCGAAGAAGACGATTCATTTTCCGATGAAAATCGCTGCTCCGGTAAGAATTTGTTCCCGGTATACGTCGGAAAATCTCGCCGCCGGTACCTGGTGAGCTCCGACGTAATCGATCACCCGCTATTTCGCGAACTCGTGGAAAGGTCCGGTGAGACTGAAGAATATATTACAGTTGGATGTGAAGTCGTGCTGTTTGAACATTTGTTATGGATGCTTGAAAATGCAGATCCTCAGCCAGAGTCATTAGAGGAATTGGTTGAATTTTACTCTTGCTGATATGGAAATAACTGAATGGTAAAAAATAACTGTGGCGTGGGAATTGGAAATGGCTAATATTTGGTAGTAAATAGTTGTAAATTTAATTTTCTGTTCTTATTTTTTTTTTGGGGGTTAAGAGTTAATGATTTTGATTAATTAGTGGTTTAGAAGGAGCGGAGGGAAAAAAAAATAAATTAAAAAAGAGGATTAGCCTAAGGCAAATCTCTTCTGTATTTAAGAGACAAGCCTAATGAGTGATTTGTTATTTAATTAATGCATGTTCCATTCTTTCCAAATATGTACCAAGTTTTTGTTCTTATCCATTTTGTTCCTTCAGTTTTTCTTTTTTTAATTATTCTTTTCTTATTTGAAACTATAATGTTGACATTTTGTTCTTTACGATAAGAAAAATTAAGGGGTCATTTGGTATATGTGGTTACTGGTTAAAGATGTGCCAATAGAAATTAGTGTTGTAGTTAAGTTATCTATGCAAATTTGTAAAATGATAGTCATAACTTGATTAAATTTCTTTCTAAGACGTGTAATGTTATACTCTCTAGATACACTTTCTTGTACTTTAACAAAACTTTGAATCCATCTTGATAAGAAACCAATTGATCATAGTACTTTATAATTATCGATTATATTTAATATTTGTCTCAATTAAGCATTTGTTACGTTTGAATAAATAAGTAGATATAATAATGGGGAACGATGAGACAGTTGTCATGGGGGCGAGCGAGATAGGTTAAATCAATGAATTAAAACCAGCGAAAATTGCTAACATGCAAACCTTCAGTTATTACTTTTAACGACATTCATTCTTCGACAAATAAATTATATGTCATGTTTTATAACACAAGATTTCACGTGAGTATAGTTTATTTGTGGCATTTCTATAAAGAAAGGTTACACGTTATGCTAAGCTTAAGCATCTGATGTTGAAAAATGTGACAAAATTGATCTTTGATTTTAACGTACTACACAGCTGTTGGTTTTTTCTTTTTCCATACAGCTGTGTTGGTTGGGGTCACCAGTTTTGGATCTTTTATTTTTTGTGTGTTTAATTTGTCCTCCACATAATTTGTCCAAGAACTACAAGGCTCCTTGTACACGTACTCACTTTTTGTTAAACTATAACTCGAAGTTGATCTGTCAATAATATATATATACACTTTTTCGATTAATTCTCAAACTATATATTATGTTTGAGTTTTGAAGAAGCTAATACTTAAACTTCATGAACAAGGCTACTTAATTAACAATCACAATTATATTGAGTTAATTTGCAGCTTCTAAGATAAAATGATGGCTCTAATTTTGCCTATTTTAACTACTTAATTAGGTTCATACCTTAGCATGTAACTATCTATGATCATGTCTATATATGCTATTCCACTCTGATCCTTCTATCATATTTTCATTTTTAGTTTGTGTCAAGAGAAGAACTATTTTTACATTTAGATACAATAATTAACCTTAATAGCGTTTTGTCCTTGATATGATTTGTTTTAGACTATAAAATTTAAAAGATTTTCAATTTTTTTAGACTTCCTACTTAGTCAAGGTATTACATGGATGGAGTATTAGGGTTTATTTAATTTAGAAACAAATTATCTCAAATTGATTGTCGTGAATAAGTTATTCCACCATATATATGAGATCATTTATCTCTTCACTTAGATATAAATGGTGGAATAAGTAATTTTTGAAATGCTTAACACCTCCAACCAAACACACGATAAAATAGTCTTACATTTTATTCCTAAAATTAATATACCTCATACTAAATGACTCAACTAGATAAATTTTGTTTAAGATTTGTAGATTTTGAATTCCTTAGTACCCTATCGTTAATTTAGTATTATTTTATTAATATAAAATACAGTGGTCCTATTTACGTACCGATGCTTATGGCTTAATAAAACAAATTAAAAAGTAACTTTTGCAGCGACCAACTAGTTGTGTGTAAAGGTTGATTTACATCTAATTTAGTCTTTGTATATATACTTTCTTTTTTTTTGAGATATCTTAATTAATTACTTCTTCCTAATTTTTCTGAGTCTTTCAGTGGTTAGTGGATCAACTGCTAGGTTGTAATTTCTCTTTATAATATATAAAATAATATAATAATTAATATGTTAGCTCTTAAGCAGAGAAAAGTAATCTTTTACAACTTGTTTTATTATTCAACCCATAGTAGAAAGAAATGGGCAGTCAGCATGCATATTTTATTATACTAATGATTGGGTAGTTGAAGATGCTCTTGTGTTTTTTTTTTATATTTATAAAAAAGAAACATATATATTGATTTTGTTAAAATGGTGACAAGTATAATTATATATTAATTAAATGGTGTACCCAACACACGCTCTTGTTTGTAGCTTTGTTTGTTGGTAGAAAGATATTCTCATTGCCCTTTTGAATTAAAATGTTTAAAAAATAATTAATGAAGAGATATATGGATTTAAGGAGGATTTTTGTGTATTGCTAAGTGGAAGACATGAAAAAAAAAATTATATATTAGTAGCTCCTAATTAACACGCAGTGGAGCACCTTATTATCTGTAACAACGCGTTTCTAATTACTCTAATTTTTCTAACTTGGGTTAATTATGATTTTGATATTTTGTTGAAACAATTAATTCGATCAAAATAACGAAACGCGATAAATTTTTTTAAAAGAATTAAATATTATTTTTAGTTTTCCATCGTTTTTGTGAAGAGAAATATTCGAAAAAGCTTTTCAAGACTTTCAATTGTTTTTCTTATTGGGAGGAATTAAGGGTATGTAAAAATCGGTTTAATCGATAAGTTGAATAAAAAATATTATATTGGTTTATCAATATTAGGTAATTGGATTGAAGGTTTTATAAACTTTTTTTATTGGGTTATCAATTTGTTTCTCCTTATATTAATTAATGGTTATGTTAATAACCCAATAAGATTATATTAAAATTAATAGTTATTTTTTAATGGAAAAATAATTTAAATACACAACTATAAGTTTAGTATTCTCTAATTTTCCCTTTTTTTTAAATATTACATAATTTTTTTTTTAATTTTAGTAGAAGTTTAGAGATAGCCTTCTCTCTCCTATAACACACACTTCTTCAATATCATGCCTATTTTTTATCCACTTAAAACACTCAATCTTCTTAATCACTTTTTGAATTTTAAATTATTAATTTTAATTAAAAACGTTTCACAACATTTAATATGAAATTTTGAATTTCAAAATTCAAAAAATTTGAAATTTCTGAAAATTGGACAATTGTTCTCTGGTTCTTCTTCTTCTTACTCCATCATCCGTCTATAGTTCTTCTTCTTCTTCTTAATCCATCATCTGTTCTTATTTTCTTCTTCTTTTCTTCTTGTTCATTGTTTTACATCAGCCATCTCTAAGTCTTCTTTTTCTTCTTACTTCATCATCCGTTCTTCTTTTCTTTTCTTTTTTTGTTTTTGTTCATCGTTCTATTACATCATATTAATGGATTCTTTTACTAATAGAAGGATTTATGATTCGGACGATGAAAATTGGAAAGAAAATAAAAAAAAGTCTTTGCATGATCCTATGAATGTTTGGAAGGATTCAAACAAAGATTTTGACGAATCATCTAAATCAAAGGTTAACAAAATACACCAAAAAAAGAGAAAAGAAGCAGCAACCATTGTTGTTGAAATTAGTAAAAGTTTTAGTAAAGGAATCCCATATGTATCATGAATTTTTGAAAATTGTTATCATGTATCAGACAATAAGTTTAATACATAAGTACTCAATGTGTTATAGTGTTTAGACGATGCATTGATACATGAATTTGATGTGTATCATATGATTTTCTATGTATCACGAGCTTTTGAAGATTTTTATCATGTATCAGTCAATAAGTTTAATAACTGGATGTTCATAAAAATGTCTTCAAACTAGATGATATAATCTTGAATTTCAAAATTTTAAATTGTTATCCAATTACGTGCTGAATTAATGCTTATTAATGAGTTGTTACCGTAATTTAAGCTGATTTAGATAACAAATTTAAGTGTTCCATTTTTCCCCCTTTTAATCTTAACAGTTTTAAGTTACTGTGTATCATTTACCATGTGTCACAACATACTAATGTATCACGCCATAGCAATTTTAAGGGATTATTAGTAAATACTAAATTTGTCGAGACAGAATGTAATTATTGTATTACACTATGAGATTCTTTAAATTTATACTTTTTTTAATTATATAACAATGACTTTAATATTTCCAACCATATTTTCTTAATTAAGAACTATTTTCGGTTGTAGGCGACACGAACTAGTCTCTCTAATGTGACACCTTTTCTCTTTTCGACAGAAACTAGTATACCTTCTTCTTTCTGAGTTACATAATATGATTGTAACAAAGACAAACACTTAATGTTGTTTAAGCAATTTCTTGTATTCTTTAGAAGTAATTCAAATAATTTTATTTAAACAGAAGCGATCAAGGTAAAAATTTATAGTGCACTTCTATTCTTACAATTAGGGGTGTGCAAAAATCAAACCAATCGATAAATCAAATCGAAAAAATGTTATTGAATTTTTAATGGGTTTATTAAAAAATTTATTGAGTTATTGATTCGTACTATTGGGTTATTCGGTAAATCGATAACCCAATAAGACGGAATTATTACTATTTACACCCTTCCTAATAATTAAGTATTAATAATTATATATATAACTAGACACTATAACTATATCAAATTATTAGTACTTTATTCACTTTACACTAGACTTCTTTACTAGTTTATCGTTTACTAAAAACTTAAAGACAAAAGTAAGGGTCCGCAATTGTAGCTATTTGATTTTAGTTTTAGTTTTAGTCTTGTTGGATTATTTGATTTTAGTTTTAGTTTGTAATTGTAGGTTGTAGAATTTGCAAGTTTATAAAGGTCCATAATTTAATTAACATAAAAAATCTCATACTATGTTTTGGCTGTGACATGGAATTACAGTCTTCGTACTATATTTATATAAGTAAAAAATCGTATAATACTTTACAGACATTTTCTTATTGGGTAAACCGAAAACCGAATCGATAACTACCAAAAATCGATAAATCGAAAACCAATAAATAATATCTTATTGATTTCTTATCGAGTTAGCCTATATAAAAACCAAAAATTGATATACCGAATTAATAATATATAAAATCAAATCGACCTAATCGATGTACACCCCTAATTACTATGATTTCTATTTTACCAGATTTCGAAGTTTGTGCTTGCAGGGGCGCAATATATATATATATATATATATATATATATATATATATATATATATATATATATATATATATATATATATATATATATGTTAGATTTATTTTTTCAGTTTGATAAAATATAGAATTTTAATATAATTTTTACATATTTAAATTATTCATTGTTGTAATTTGCAGTGCTTTTTTATGATTTTCAAATAATCTATTTTACTTCTCTTTTTTTAATTTATGTGACAGAAATATAATTTTGAGAATCGAGACAAGTTTATTTATGTGTTTTCAAATATTTGAAGTTATTAATTATTGTGATTAATAGTACCTTTTCACGTCATTCTTTTAAAGAACAAATGTTAGTCTTTGGAAATAAATTCTCATTTTTTTAAAATGCAAAAGGAATATCAAGAAAGTCTTATTTGAAGACGAAATTAAATTTTGACAATTTTTTATGATAAATATTTCGAATATAATTTATGTTAGAATACATTTTTATCATAACATGAAGTATAATATATATTTCACAATTTATGTATTTTTTCTTTTTTTTTAAAAATGTGTCTTAATTTATATGACATAAATAAAATTCACAAAGATTATTAATTTTTATTTTGAGATATATAAAGTTATGAATTATTATAATTTATAATATTTTTTACGTAATTTTCTTATATGTCTTCTTAACTTGTAAGTTATTGATTATTATGATTTATAGCGCTTCTTATGTCATATTCAAGAATATATAGTACCTGTTTTGTTTAATTATGTAGCGATGAAATTTTGAGGGTCAATCAAATTTTTTATATAATTTTAAAATAATTAAGTTTTTAATTGTTGTGATAGTTGTTACTCCTATTTCATGTTATATTGTTAATTATTGTGATTTATATTGTTTTATGACATTTCAAATAATAAATTTTGTTTTCTTTATTCTAATTTATGTAGTACTAATAAAAGTTTTACAGTGCATTATAATTTTTAGACCTTTTAAATATATTTTTAAGTTGCAAATTTTATTATAAGGTAATAATTATACATGTAATAATGCATAGTGCAATAAAAATCTAATTTACCTTTTCAAATAATCTTTCTTAGAATATATGTGACTGTCAATTAAAGAAAAAAATTAAAGACAGAAAGGCAAGAAAAAGCTACATGAGGTGTGATGGACAATTTTGCCATTACATTCAAAAGTATGTCATTAATAGATAATGTTAGTTTCTGCTAGGCCAATAATATGCTTTCAAGTTTTTGAAATTACCAAATTATCCTCTAAAGTTGCCAGACAGGCATGTTGACCTCCTGCCTGGTTAAGCGGCTTAACTTCCTTTTATTATATACTAGGTAGAGGTGGCCCGTTCTTGCACGGGCCCAACATTGAAAGATTTTTGTTAGATATAAACATATAGAATGTATGAGTCGAATATATATATATATATATATATATATATGAAATATGGTTGGCAGTTGTTTTGTTCCTTGTCATGGCTGTGTTATTTAGGTTGGATATCTACAATATTTACATAATGCTGTATTTTGACTATTAATCAGCGTCATTCAGAAAGCACCTGTGAAATAAGATGGAAAATAAATTTAGTATATAGTTATGGGGGAAGAGTTAATGTTGAGTATAGTACTGGTTTGTTTAAGAATTTATCATTGATTGCAAGATTTAAGTACCTGTCAATTTCTTATAACAATGCATCAAAGCCCATGCTATCAGCACCAAAAGTGTACGCCATCAAGACAAAATGGTGTTGCCAACCATATTGCAAAAAAGTATTACACTATAACTAAAGGAGAGTATCAAATCTTATCCAGAAAATCAAAATCAGACAACTTGATATTAGAACCCAATTTCAAAATATTTCAAAACTCCCCATCAATTCGTATTTCTACCTCTAACTCAACGTCTGAAATTTGACTCCATGTTCTAATCTACCAAACTATCAGCAATCAGCAATCAAACTGAAACAGATTTTCTAATGCAACACACATCCCGTTTCTACAAATAATCTATCAAATGTAACAGATTTGATAGATTTCCTTCAGCAATAAATAGGGATACAAGTTGTAACCACATTTGTTATATTTCCAGAAGAATAAAATTTAATCATAGCATATCATCAAAAACATATTTTTCTATATAGATCTAACCCAGAATTTACATATAACATCATAAACAAATCCAACAACAAATGCAAGCATTAGTTTTAAAATTAATAGGACAAACAACATTTATTGCTGCATAGCAATTGAAAGTCGTGAAGAGAGAATACCTTTTAGTCTTCTTTTATCATGATTTGCTTCAGCTTGCGTTTACTGCTTTCTGGAGTTGTTGGTGCGTTGATGGGCAGTGGCAGATTGCTAGCAATATCTTTCTCGGTGATTGACATGATAAACAGTTTTGCTGAAGATGCATCCTTGTTTTTGGCAAACAACTTCTTTATTTGGATGGTGAATGTCATAAATTATAATGAATATTATTTTTCGTAAAAAAAAGGTATTATATGGCTATTTTTTTACATATACCTGCAAAATAGAGAATATGCGTCTCCAACAACAAATTCACAACCACAATTGTTTCATCTCTACGCTTTGTTCAGTTCTGTAGCCAGTTCATACATGATTTGCACTGAACTAGGAAATAGCTTCATCTTACATGTAAAGAGTACTTACAAACTCATAACTACATAGGCTACTTACAAACTCATAACTATATAGGCTACTTTCTTCCTTTGATAATGGAAACACATTTCTTTTGTTTCATGCATACATCCTAGCAAACAACACCCATTTATCAACAGGTCGTATATAACTACAACGGGATCAATGTCTTCCTGAATCAATATTTTCAACAATGATATCTTTGGTTGTCTTAACGCCTTTCATATGTTCATGGGAGGTTTCAAAAATGTTTGGTTAATGCTCCATCCACCCTCATCCACCTCCAATTCTGAAAAAGTAAAAAGAAATTATTATGTATATATAGTTTCACTGCTGATTCTCCAACATCATAAGTGTTGTCTTTAATAGGTATCCTACCTTGGTTGTGAATTTTGAAGGTATGGAGATACCCTTAGAAGTTTTGCAACTTTTGTCTTGGGAAGTCAAATGGTATTAATTCCAGCAAAAGTACCTTCACACTGTTAAAAAAAATTATTAAAAAAAAGATCTTGCACACAACACAGTGAAAACTGAGGGCAGCATATAAAGGAGCTTAATTTGTTCGGTCACTACTAAAGTATTGCTTACCAATAGTATAATAATAAATGAGCGAGGTCTAACTGAAAGCATCGCCGGTTGAGTTAAAAGCAGAATGAAAATTCAGAGATTTTGCCTTCACAATAAATATTATGACGTGAAGTAACGTTCTCAAACTCCATTTTCCATCCCTTGCATGTAAAAGAAAAAGATCGACAACAAGCAACTTATGCAGTTACGTAGAAACAATTTATAGACGAAGTATGATGTAACCTTAAATAATTAAGGCAACTGTTTATAACGAACACATTTGCTTACCCAAGTGGTGTTTGATTTTTTCAATCCCTGCATAATATTATATAAGGATCATACATGAATGTGTCCTTAATTAAGAGCTTCAACTCTACTCCTTCCTCAGTTCTACTAAGTGCCCTTTCATGAATGAGAGGAAAGGAAGTAGGACGACCAAGAGGCAACCTTATCCAAGGTCAAGCAGTTTGCCAGAAGTAAGCTTGTATAGAGGTGAAACAAGTAGAATTGGGATAAATTGTTTGAATGAGAAGTAACTGATTACCACAACAACAGTCATAAAAATTTTAGACAAACATATGAATCCAAGGTAACAAAAAATCAAAGAGAAAGATAAATTGAAGAAGATAGACAATAATATTCAAAGCAAATAAAAGATTAATACTCCATGAAGTTAGTCATAATAACAGAGACGGAAACCTACATGAAACATTCAGAACAATTAATAGTTGGGTTAATTTTTTAAGCCGCTTAACTTATATACACTTCAATTGAAAATAAATTAAAATGTAGTACAAATATTTTTATCTCGGAAAACCTCTAATTTGAGGAAGAGAGCCAGAGAGGTAATAAATAACAAAATTCAAATTTAGAAAAGAAATATACAAACATTAAAATCAAATTTGATTGAGAAACACAATTTTCAGATTCAGTTACAATGTTGATAAGTGAATAGTGAGTCAAATGACTATAATTCTGGAGAATCAACAGGGTGATTTTTATCTCAATGTTTGCCCTAATTCAAGTTCTTACCAACATAAAAATCAAAATTTCATGAACCCAAAAATTAGAGTTGACAGATACTAAGTAGGAACTCTCATCTATATGCACAAACACAATTCAATGAAAAAATTGAGAACAAACAGGAAAAAACAACCGAGGGGAAAAAAGTACCTTAATGCTCTAAACAACGATGTCATCTCTGCACATAAACTGTTTGATAAAACTCCTCACCGAACTATTTACCTCTGGAACTCCTTAATTCGAGGTTATGCTAGAGCCCACAAATTTAGAAATGCATTTTCGCTGTTTAATGATGTGCTTCATTCTGAAATAATGCCTGATAACTTCACTTATGCATGCACAGCTTAAGAGTATTACATGGAGGGGTTGTTCTATCTGGGTTGCAGTTGGACTTCATCTGTAGAGATCTCCGTGAAAGCTTATAGGGATAAAGCTCAAGAATAGAAGCCACGTATAAGAAAAATTGGATGACCACACAGACACGTGGAAACAAAATAGAACTGTATGGAGATGAAACAGACATGTTGATTAAGCTCTTTCTAATATAAGAGAAAAGAAAAAATATATTATGTATATATGATTATTTCGACATTTTTTTATCGATTATGTTGGAAATCGATTAAACAAAAACTGATAATAAAATAATATTTTATTGATTTAATTATCAATTTAGTCGATTCATAAATTAAAATTGATAAATCAAATCGATAATGTATAAAGCAGACCAACTGATCAATGCATGCCTAAGATGAATAGTTCGGGAAGTAAGCAAGACCAATAACTAAACTATTGATAGAGTAAGTACTTTTATGTGTCAAGTTGAATATGAATAAATGACTTCAATCAGGAAAATATGTTGGGTTTTGGCAAGGTGTGAATGAGAAATAAAAAGAGAAAATGAAAAATGTGGGGAATCAATTTTGGAGAGAAAATTAAAAGTCATTGTAAATTGCAAATGAAAAGTAATTTCTTCCATATTGATAGAGAAGAAAGAAAAATTGTTATCTTTATATTAGGAATCACTTCCTTTAGTTCTTGAAGGGTTAAGAAAAAGGTTCCCCTCGCGTTGTTGTCATCGTTGCTTGCTCGAATTTGGCTTTGAATAACCTCGTTCTGAAGGCACTTGTTCCTTCCGAAAAGACGTTATTTTGTTCCCTCTCTGTAAACATTTTATTACATAAATAAAATTATTGATCGATTGAGTTTGTGAATGCTCTTGTTGCTGAAATTAGTGAAGTTTGATGTACTGCACTTCTCTAATAGTTAATTCGTTTTATCTTGGGAGGAATTGATTTGTAACCTCGAATACTTGAAATGATTAAATTTTTTAAGAAAACACCATAAATTTTGTGGGCTCAAATTTTATTTTCTGTCTATTTCATCTTTTTTCTATTTCTATTTTTGTTAACCTCTATGATTTGAAGCAAATATTTTCAAATTTCTTTTTTATTTGATTTGATTTGAATTGAAGCTGATGTTTTCAAAAAGTTAACAATTCCATTCAGATTGCTTAAAAAAATTATCGCGGATAATATAAAAGTATATCCTCTAATATATTATGCCGTACACCTACATGCTTTTGTCTGCCACTCCACTACAATAACTATGCAATAGGCAAAACAGGGTTTTCTGTTAGGATAATTTTACTTGGCTAAAATTAGGGGAATGTATGGATCGATTTAGCTTGATTTTATATATTATTAATTTGATAAATTTATTAATTTTTATTTTTTTAAATATATTAAATTAAAAGTTAAAACAATAAAATAACATTATTAGTTTTTGGTTAGTTGATATTATTTCTCAACAATTTGATTTTCAGTTTAATTAGTAAAAAAGTTAATAAAATAAGGGAAAAGGGTCTGATATACCCCTCAACTTTATCATTTAGAGCTGATATACCCCTCGTTATAAAAGTGGCTCATATATGCCCTTACCGTTATACAAACGGCTCACATATACCCCTGCCGTTACAAAATGGCTCACATATACCCTTCATTTAACGGAAGTTAAAAAATTAGTTTTAAATTTATATTTATTACTTCTTATTTTTTTTAGAAATTATTTAGGGGTATATATGATTCTTCTATCAAAGTTCAAGGTATATTTTAATTTTTTTCATATATAAATTATTTTTTGACTTCTTTTATTATAATTATTTGAATTTCTTATTCTTATTTTTTTCCCCTTTCATTCCTTAGTTTAAAGAATAATAAATTAAACTATTTTTTTTGTGTGTATTGTAATTCAATTTCGTATTCGAAGAAAAAATTTGATTATCTATAATAAGTTTTACAAGAATATTAGTGAAACATAAATAAATTTGATTATCAAAATAATAATTATAAATTAGTCATTGAAACAAAAAAAAGTCAAAAAAAATATGTTTGACGAGAATTAAATTTACCCATGTGGGATTATATTTTTTAGAAAAAAATAATAAAAATTTAGATTAAAATTATTGTTTTTTTCATTTCCGTTAGAGGAAAAGGGTATATGTGAGTCATTTGTTTACAAGTAGGGGTATATTTGAGCCACTTTCATAACAAGGGGTATATCAGCTCTAAATGACAAAGTTGAGGGGTATATCAGACCCTTTTCCCATAAAATAAATATATGAATTCTCTTACAATTTGACGCGATAAGATAATAATGTAATTGTACAAATGTTCATTAAATAAAAATAATTGTAACTTACGTGAAAAGAACAATACAAGTGCAACAACAAAGAGAAATTAAGAGGAATGCGATTCTTACTTTAGATTTTGACGTTTTGTGTAATGTAAAATTTTGAACTCAAAATCATTGTAAAGTGTGAATTAAAGTCAAGACGACAAATACACTGACTAGTAAGATATTAATATTATAATATTTAATATTTATATATAAAGAAAGTAATAAATTACTATAATCTTAATAAGTTATTGGTACCCAATAACCTAAAATTGAAAAGCAAAACAAAATCAATAACTTGATAATATATTTATTTAATAGAACCATTTAAAAATCGTTATCCCAACAGTAGTAAACCAATATCACTTTTTCGATCGTATATCCTATAAAAATAATGTGACTTAATCTGAAAAGTGGTTTCAGATAATACATGGTTAAGAAAATAATGTGTACTTCCCACGATCATTGCGTGTGGCAAAAAAGTAAAAAAGTTTAACAAACAAATGCATGACTAAGAGGTGTTATAGAGTTCATCTTTAACTTTTGTGAAATGATATTTACTCTATCCTCCTGCCTAAAAGTGAAATTAATTACAATTATCCGTTTCAAATTAGAAACCTAAAAAGAATGTACGAATTACTACGCATTATAACAAGTTAAAATATATATACTAGTAATGTAAAAATTACTTTACATCGTTAGTTAATAATAGTACTAAGTTAAATTATTATTTTTGGTTTGTGATACGCTACATAACGTGTGATGTTGTTCCTAGTGTAGCCAGAGGAGAAATAAAAGAAAAAAAGGAAAAAGAAGATGGTTTAATTTGAGAGTTTTCTTTTTAATATTTTATTTAGTGTTTAGTATGCACTTTGCGCTTTTAATCAAATTCACGTCTTATATGATAAGTGAAATGTGTTTCTAACAAGACTTTTTTTATATTCAGAATTTAAACTCAAGATCTCTAATTAAGATTAAAAGAATCTTATTCAATTCACTACAATCCTCGTGAATCGTGATAATTTGGGAGTTGATAAAGTTGAAGTTTAGAGAAAAGAAGGTATGTATATGTGGAGGTAACTTGACATTGACAAAGCAAAGAAGTAAATACATATATATATGGAGGGATCAATATTTTGTATGGAGAAATGCAAAAAAAAAAAAAAATGTAGCTCAAGAGAAGACGGCCGATGTTTGCGGCTTTTTTATGAGAAGACACACGGTCATGCTTCTTATAATGTCAATTGTACTGTGTCTTTCCATGTTCTTCCTCTGTCTTTATAGATGCCAAAATTTTATTCATAAAAATATTAATAATTTAATTCACACTAAGTTTAAGTTGATTAATCACCTGAGGTCTTTTATTCCTAATTAGAGGAGTACAATTTGGTGGGATCAATGAGAACAAGGACTAGTCAACCTTCTTGGTATTTGTAGTCTTTATCAATATGAACTTTATTTCTATTCGGACACTTCAACTTGCCCACTCGGATGATATGAGATAACCACTTTATGCTGCTTTTTTACATCATATTTAGATAATTAGGCGATATTTGTTGGAGACTTTATGTCTTTCGTGAATAACTTAAGTAGTTTTATTCATGAAAAATAATAATGAAGAAACGAAAAATAACAATAAATAATAATATTTAATATCATTAATTAGTGCGGGGTTTCAATCTTTATATAATATATATAATAAAGTATCCTATAATTCTTCTCTTCACGATCGTCAATTTCAAAAACTTAATTTTATCTTGAATCGATTGAATATTTATTGGAATTTCATCACGAATGCTGAGCCAATTTTTAATTGCGGTTGTGAAAGTACATAAAAAAATTGCGGATTGCCACAGAAGAGAGGAGCTTTTTTTTGGCCTCCTGAAGAACACTTTATATAGGCTTGAGCTAAGCTTGAGGGTGGTGTCATCTCCATGTAATTCTAGTGAATCTTGTATTTAAAAATATGAATTGAGCTTGTCTTGTCAATGTCACGACCCAAACCGGGTTGCGACTGGCACCCACACTTACCCTCCTATGTGAGCGAATCAACCAATCTAAACCTTAACATTTCAATGTAATAACAACAGAAAATAATGCGGAAGACTTAAACTCATTAATAAAACCAATTCAATAACTATCAATATTCAACATCTATTATTCCCAAAACCTGGAAGTCATCATCACAAGAACATCTACTTTAAACTACTAATTCTAAGAGTTTCTAAGAAGCTAAAAATACATAAGAAGCTAGTCCATGCCGGAAGTTCAAGGCATCAAGACTTGAAGAAGAAGATCCAGTCCAAGCTAGAAGCATTAGCTCACCCTGAATTTCCGATGTAGTAAGACTGGCTTGAATTACTGTTGAGTTGAAGACGATGGCACGTTGCTGCACTCCACAAATAAACAAGAAGAAAACATAAAAGTAGGGGTCAGTACAAAACACGGGTACTGAGTAGATATCATCGGCCAACTCAAAATAGAAATCAATATATACCGAGTAATATCATAAAATCAACTATGATACTCAACATGTAGCAACAACAAGCACTATATCATTAACAATTACCGTCAAGTTCACACATGAGGACTCAAGCCCCAATACCATACTCATTTGGGAATCATGTTCGTTAGATTGAGTATATTAACATCTTTCAAGATTCATTATCTTTAATTCTCTTGTGTCGGTACGTGACACTCCGATCCCTCATATTCATTATTCCTCTTGTGTCGGTACGTGACACTCCGATCCCCTAAATCTACGTGTCGGTTCGTGACACCCGATCCCCTAATTCTACGTGTCGGTTCGTGACACCCGATCCCCTAATTCTACGTGTCGGTTCGTGACACCCGATCCCCTAATTCTACGTGTCGGTTCGTGACACCCGATCCCCTAATTCTACGTGTCGGTTCGTGACACCCGATCCCTTAATTCTACGTGCCGGTTCGTGACACCCGATCCACTAATATCATTCTGTAAACCATCAAGCCTTCTCTATACCAAGGCATCATCAATCCCATTACTTTAATTCATCAAGCCTTCTTCTATATCAAGGCATCATCAATCCCATTACTTTAATTCATCAAGCCTTCTTCTATACCAAGACATCATCATCAATAATGTATATTAAAGTTTCTTTTCAAGATTTGGGATTCAATATTTTCATCATGCTTATTTTATCACAATCACATAATCATATTCATGCAAACATACCATTAAGCATATAGTAGGGTTTACAATACTACCAATACATATCAATCACTATTAAGAGTTTACTTATGAAAGCATGAAAACCATAACCTACCTTCACCGAAGAATTGGAATCAACAAGCAATCTCCCAAGCTTTGATATTCTTCTTCCTCGTTCGACTCTTTCTCTCTCAATCGATCAATCTATCTCTCGCTTTTCTTTTCTCTTTTCTTATTCAAAACCCTCTTTCTTTTACCCCAAATTAACATATAATTAAGAATAAAAGATGGCAATAATACCCCACTAATTAACTTAGGGTTACCTCTTTTAACCCCCAAGAATTTGAGTTATTAATATAAACCCACGAAATCTATAATTAAGGAAAGAATAGTCCCAAACGTCCCTTAAAACGTGTAAGGAAATCCGATTCTGCCTGGGATTTGCGCAACCTGTGACGGGCCGTCGTGCCTGCGACGGTCCGTCCTGCAGGTCGTCGCAGAGTTCAGAGACCCAAATTTCCACCAAGGGTCTGTGACGGTCCGTCACACCTGTGACGGTCCGTCCTGCCATTCCGTCACAAAGTTCAGAGAGTCGATTTTTAGTACCCAATTTCAGATTTTCTAAGTGTTTTGAAACGAGACCCTGCGACGGTCCGTCGTGGGGTCCGTCGCTTCTGCCAGTTTTTCCAAAATTGAAGTCTGTTGCTCAAAACGACTAAACGGGTCGTTACAGTCAACTAATTTGCATATTATCTTAAATATAATTAAATTTCACTTAATTTATATAATTTTAACTTGAATACTAATGTAACTTTATTAACTAAAAAATTGACTTGATCAACGAATCATGAATTTAATATTTAATTAAAAAATTCAATATAAATTCATCCAATAAAATTTTAATAACTACAGTATGTACTTGAAGACTGCAGTTATATTGTTCTATGACAATCTCAATGGTTATATATATGACAATTAATTCAAAATTTGCCAATTTTTTAATATTGATTTTATTAAT